AAAAAAAAAAAAACAAAATTGTTGTACGATGTCGTTGTCGTTGTCCAGTGGGAAAAAACCAAGACTCTCGTGAACCAGCCATGGGAAGTCTTTTCTCGAAAGAGATACTGCAAGTCGCGGAACCAGCCCGTGCATTTCCTTACTTTTCTTTATGTCCCGTCAGGCCAGCCAGGATTTTGCCGTTCCCATGTTCCATGTTCATGTTTCCGTGAACCATTTTCCCGAGGATTTCTTTACCATTCGCTTTCTTCCACCACGGATTCAATTTCTTTTGTCCAGGATTTCAATCTGCCGTCGTCTTGCTCACTTGCTCTTGCTTATTATACAAGAGGTCTGAGTTCGAGATGTCCATCTACAGATGAGGTTTAATTAGTACCTCTATCTTCAGAACGTCCAAGCCACGACTGGAATTCGATCATACAAGTACTACTTGTGTTCTTCATTCTTTCTACTTCTCCTTTGTCGACACTTTATCTTCACATTCTTTGATCATTTCCTTTGTTCGATTAACTTCACTTATACCATCATTATTTTAATTTCTTGTCATTTTATCGATTCTAAAATCGATATTGATATCCTCGACAAAAACGCACCGGAATCATACATGCATGCAAGGGACAACAAAAACCAGGTCAACCCAGACTAGGCAAAAAAAAAAAAAGGAAAGAGAAACAATAGGAACCAAAACAAAAAAGAGGGGAAGCAAAAATGAAAAGGGGACTGGACGGAGGTTTTCTGCTTTGTCGTTTACTGTTTACTGCTACTGTTCGAGTTTTGTATTGCGTTGCCCAGCTTAAATGTTTTGATTTCTTCTGCTTTTATTTACCTTGTTTCGACTGCGTTGTTTAGCGATTGAGATTTTATTTTGGATTTCAGTTTTCGTTTTATTCTGATTGATGTTCGATGTTTTTGGGTTTATGCTTGGTTAGGGTTGCATAGACGACATGACGCCTTGTACTTGATTTGACTTACTTGGTTTCGACTTTTTTTGATTTCTTGATGATGACTTATGACTTATGAGATGAGAATGAGATATGATTTGATTTACTTTACCCGATTGGAGTACGCCATGGATTCTCGCATTTTTCTTACCATAGCGCGTCGAATGCTTCCAGAACGAGACGACATCCTCGATGATAAAGCCCTACATATGTAGCACCGTAATTGTATTTGCATTCTTGTTTCTGTAAAGTTTACTCAACTTTCTGAGACTTTCAAGCTCGCTTAGCAAGCAGTTCAAGGGTGGCATTTTGTGTTGCATGTAGAAGTATGTGAAATTGGTACTTTGTAATCAACTCGTCTAGTTAGATCTATATTGAATCTATGGTATCAAACATGATAACGCTATACATGCACTTAGCAGTCAAATCATATTAATCAAACTTTTCCACATCCCAACCGAGCAAGAATATCTAAGAGCCGTCGCCAGCAAACTCCGCATTCAAAAACCTTACAAACGCACCTCCCACCTCTTCCTCCTTCAAACCGCTTCCCTTCCCCCCCGCGTAATTCCCCACATACGCCCGGTTCAGCCCTATCCACTGCCTCTTCAACCTCTGCAGTCTTGGCAGGGCAAGTACACCCCCCGCACCCGCAAGTTCATCCGTGGATCCCAGCGCGGCGACGTGCGCGGGTATGAATATCGGTGTTGAGATGTCAGGGATCTCGATCGTAATCCCGTTGGGTGCGTTGGGTGGGAGGTTCGAGAGGATTGCTGTTGCGGAGGGGTTTGTGAGTGTGTAGTTGCGGATGGAGGAGATTATTGCTGAGGTGCGTTTCTCAAGCGAGTAGAGCGCGGAGGAGTCGGTGGCTGTTGGTTGGACGGTTGCGGCGTGGGGTTTTATCTTTGGACGTGTGCGGTTTAGCAGGCCTGTTCCTGGGGCGCCTGTCGCGCCTGTCACGACGCTGGCTGTGTCGGATGTTGTCTTGATAGATTCTATTGGTGTCGGGGTTATGCTCGAGGTTTGTGGGCTGGTAGCTGATGGATGCGGGATGCCTGTGAGTGCTGTCCAGATATCCGCGATCGGGGGTTCTGTGTCGAAGTAGGGGACTGTGAAGAGGGGTTTGTCCCAGCGGCTGTGGGTGCTTGGTTCTTCGTAGCGGAAGATGAGGTTTTCCAGGAGTTCGGGGGGGTATGCTTCGTCTTCGCTTCGGTCTTCAGATCCCTCTTGGGCAGAGGTCTTTTCGGCTTGCCTTTTTAGCTTTGCTTCGTTATTCGTGCGGCATTGCTCGATCGGTGTTCCGACATGGACCTATCCATTACCATTAGTACCTCTTTCACATCCCATACCGGACAATAAGATACTCACAACACAACAAGTCGTCCCCACAGCCTTCGCCTCACACCAAAGCTGATATCGATACCCCTTGATATAATTCATCCCATCTAGAATCACAAACGTATCCTTCCCCAGCGCCCTCTTCGCTCTCGCATACGCAACCCCGCGCGCCATCTTCTCCGTGCGCGCGTTATCGTAGACGCTTCTCGGGTGCGAGGCATCATGTGTTGGTACGGTTGTGACCTTGTAGCGTGGGCGGGAGGGGTCGATGGCACCGGAGGCGAAGAGGTCGTCTTGGGTTTTTTGGAGGAGAGTGGCTAGTTGGGTTGCGCGGTGGGTTAGGCCGGAGGAGGGGTAGCCGGAGAGGATTATTAGCTGGGCTGTTAGTACTGCGATAGACGGAGGTGCATATAAAGTAGACTTACCGGCATGATGGCGGTTGTTGTTGTATGATGTTGATGTTGGGCGGCTTTTTTTTTTTTTTTTTGCGGGGTGCGGGGCATGTGACTGAAGTCGAGATATCTACATTCCAGATCCCAGGACAGATGAGATGATTCTATAGTCTATTTATGTACTTGTACCCATGTTCATGCAATAAATCACTTTTAGTCGTTTTCTCATATCATACATCATCATTTTAACTGCTCCGGAGCCCATCGAAGCTCATACCCAAACACTGTTTTCCGCAGCGTTTCATCGCCTGGATCCTTCTCAAAAAGCACATCATCCATAACCTTCTGAAAGATCTTCGTCACGGTGAACCCATTCTCCTCCGCCAACGGGAAAAACTTCTCCGTCTTGGGCAGCAACCATGGTTGATAAGGCGTGAAAATAACCAGCGCAACAGACTCCGGCGATTTCTTCAGCGTTGTGTGCATCGTCTTGATCAGGTTCGGGTGTTCGCGGTGGCTGTATACAACGTCCGCCATGATGAGCGTATCGAATGCCGTCTGGTTATCGGGTAAATGCGCGATCAATGGCTCAACGGTATCCCCCCATTTATACCCCTTGACGTACAGCGACGATTTGCTCGAGTCGATCGACGGCGCAGCAAGCTCCGCATTGTAGCGCATATTCCCAACAAGATCCAGATCCGGATAGTCTGTCATAACAGTATTTCTCGCGCCTAAAATCGCGCTCACGATACTGGGCACGCCCGCCGCAGCACCGATCTCTAGAACATCCTTCCCATCCACTAGATCGCGGTGTTCTTCGAGATAGTGCGAGCTTGTTCGGCCGGCATTCCAGAGCAAATCGCCCTAGTCCACCAGAAGACAGGTTAGTCGTAGGTACGGAGTAAAAAGGAGAGGATGTAAGTTGGCGCGTACGTAGAGTGGGTGGCTTCCGACTAGACGCACGCGCACCTTCTGGCCTGAGAGCATGTGGTGTTCTGCGTAAGTGGGCTCTTTTTCCGGGGGGTAGTACCCCTCGGGGTCTTGGAAGATGTCGGCGACGTCGATTTCGTCTGCCATTGCGATTGGCTGGTTTGGGGTTAGGGACTGAGCATAGTTCAGTGGACGAGATGAGCACGATAAGATCTAAATTCATTGTGGGGATTCCAGATAAGGTTAGCGTTGGCTATCACATGATTTTGTATCACCCAGGGCCCTAAGATGACTGCAATATGCTAGAGTCTAGATGATAAGACAAAGAACGCCTGTATTGAGACTTGTGCTATGATTACAAAGCTATGAACGACCCAAAAGTCCCTGAGTTGCAGCATCACTTCCTCTGGCTTGATGATAATTCGCCCTGTATCCAGGATCCGCTGGTAGCAGGTTGTAGCTCTGCAAGCCCTCCTCAAGATCCCTTTCTCAATAACGACGCTGTTCGTGCTCATATCTACGAGCCCTACGATGAGCCAAACTGTCGAAGATAATAAAATGAGCTACCGGCCATGCTTCCCTGCTCTGAGGTCCCTGTTTTCTCACACGCAGATACCGGACCATATAATATCATGTTTGACGAGAAGGCGTTGAATACCACTGGCCCTATCGACTGGGAAAGACCCGGGTGGTATCCAGAGTACTGGAAGTATTCTAATATCATGAGACCTATGGTATACGAGAACTGACAGAAGTGGATGGATATAACAGCTCCGGGGAAACGGGATTTGCGTGGGATTAATGGCGGCGAGGTGAGTTTTGCTCTAGTGCATAAGAGATCGTGGAAGAGCTTTGACCGCTTCGTTTTGTCATTTACATCCTCGAGTGGTGTTCTTCAGAAATCTATGTATCAGACCTATACTATTGGTGACTACACAGTCAAGTGCATTGGCCTGCGCGAACTGGCGATGGGTAACGACATCCTCCAACACACCCGTAAATACGAATTCTAGCCTGACAACCTGATCTTGGCAGGTCATTAAAACTTTAACAACGCTTGCGGATCTTTTAATTATCTTATCGAGGGCTTGTATCAACTTGTGCCGGTGAGACTCCTGAATCTCGTCCAACGCGTCTATAACGATTGTAGCAGGGTTGAAATTGGTGAGATCCAGGATCAATGCCACGCATTCAGTCACGCTTAGTCTCGGAATATCACTACCATTCAATTCTGCCTCTGCCTGGCGTCGCTCGTAGTCCGTAACCACAATTTCATGGACTTTTCTTTCACTGTTTCGACCAAATGCCAGCTGTTGTACAATGCTGCGCATAACTTCATTGGGATTAGAGCGACTAGGCTCAAACGTACTCCTCGCACAAGAGAAATAGGTCAAGGGTGCTGCCACTGAGCCATTTTGTCCTGGAAGTTCCTGCATGAATGAGCCTACAACGTTAGATGCAAGGGATGTCTTCCCCGATCCGAAGATAACATGAAGCACAAGGATGCTAGAGGTGCTCGTGTGCTTCCACTTCTGGTATTGGGGGTGGTTCAAGGACCACTTTCCGGAACCAGAGATTCTTTTCCTGCTGTGGATCATATGATGTGCCATGAAGGGAGTCGACGATAGCCACTACATCAATCTGGAGTGCTGATTCTTTTCCAAACTCTTCATTGTTATGCTTTGAACTGCTACTCGAAGAATGGGCTCTTCCAAAGACTCCATAAGCAGCTGAATGGCCATGACGTTCTCCCGGTAGACTTGGTGTCTTCTGCATCAGCTAGGGCTCTTAGCCCTGCCACTCGTCTTTCTTGGGCTTCAATCTGCTTCATCTGACAGTTCTCAAAGGCATGGAATGCACTTCTCAGCATCCGCTCTGTCGCCCATTGGTGTTAGTGCCTCTGGCATCAAAATGGATCGTACGCATACATACTTTCCGTGCTGGTTTGGAAGTAACATTTCGCCTCGATGAGGAAAACCAGCACCTTACTGCAAAGGCGTATGAAAGCCATCTCAAGCTCGTCACGCGCTGAGGTGCTAGGTCCAATATATAGAATCGCCAGAAACGTATACCTCGTGATCAGCTGCGAGCTTGCTTCCACCCCTTGGACTATTTCCCCAAAAATTTCCTTCTCACCTACTGCCATCTTGTCGTGGTCAGCCATCATTCCTTGACACGCGCGATGGACAAGGCCCAGCAACACTCACCTGTAGAATAAAGCGGATTCCTGCCCAAGGCAACGAGCTATGAATAGGATCATACTGAGTCGCAACATCTCCAACCGCTTTAAACTTATTCGCCCAGTCTATGACCTTCTCAAGAAAACCCTAACAATTATTTCCTCTCCACTGGATTTTCGAAACGTCCATCGCTTCTGCAAGCAAAGATCTTTCTTTTCATTTGCTATATATAGGACAGAATCCGCGATACTGCGACTGTTGGCTCTCAGGCTAACACCTGCTTCCACAACATCATCAAGGCTGTCCCATACCCTTGCCAGAGACTTTGGGACGGCGAATGATTTTCTATTCGGTTGTATGTGGTCTGCGGTGTCATGGTCGACATGGGTCAATTAAGCTTCAAAAAAAGAAAAAAAAAAAAAAAAACAGCATAAGAAAGTGGAAATGGCAAGGGAAGCGGGGGAGAAGTGATTGACAAGGCTGAACAATACAGAGGTCAGCCTCACTCTGGATTACGATATAAACGGTATCAACCACCAGAGCTTACGAATGAAATCTGACAAGCATATCGTTTATGCGACCTGATAGGAGTACATGTAGGTGACGTCCCCGGAGGTTTCGTAGTCTTTCGGAGGAAATTCAAAGGGTCCCATTGATAGGTTGTACGAAGATGTAGTTTATGAAGCCATGATAAAACGGAAGACGGCGCCAAGCACCAGACTAAGAGAGCCAGTACAAGTTAGGGATACATGCCAGTCATGGACTTTGCAAGTGATTCGCCGTTGATTGCGGAGGGGATTGTTAGAGAGGGCGAGATTGAGCATTGGAAGATCCGATTGATTCACCCCTGTTGCTTAGCTTGTTTGCATAGGGAACCAGTCTGCACAAATCATCGCGTAAGGAGTTAATTGGGCGCTTAGCGGTGGGACTGCATATATGACCTGAGCATTGCATGATATCGAGCATGGGCGTCGTATTTGGCATTTTTGCTCGGCTCAAGTTTACTTCCATCAGGTCTCTTTTCGACATGCGCATGCTCATGGCGTCCTGGCTTGTAGCCATCATTATACAAGTATGCCTACAGGCTTCCTGTCTCACTGGTCAAGAACCGATATTAACCATGGTCTGATTTCGAACAAAAACAACCCCATAAATCCAATCTAAGAATCAATCAAACATATCTATTTGATACCGTGCTGATCCAGCTAGATGATCACACAATCTCTCCTGACTCACTCCCAACACTATTGCTCTATAGTAATGAAGGACACTCCGTGATCCTCCGTCTCCGTCCACCCCCCGTCCGTATTCCATCCAAACACGGCTACCATACCCAATCAGGTGAACTCCTCGAACAACGGCAAGATTCCCCGAAGACTTCCCGAAAGCCCACCCGCGTATTATAATACACGGCCCGTACCTGCATAGCACATAGAAACCCCACGTAGAAAGCGCGGAGGTACAATACACATACAACCTCGGATAAAAGTCGGGAACATGGTGCTTTTTTTCTGCGCTTCGATTTTTTTTCGTTCATTTAATGTGTTGTAAATCCGACGATCATGGGATTTCGATAGTCTGACCAGTTGGTATCCCTGGATAAGCACTGCACTGGATTTTTTGTATCCTATTCTCGGAGTACAAACACCAAGGGCTTAGCCAGGACAGTGCTTTTATACAGTATACCATACGGAGTACTCTGTACAGTGAACCAAACTCTCATTCAGCGTCATCGCTCGTCAATTCAACTCTGCCGAACCAAATTCCGTGACCCCGCTGTCAACTCATTGCCTTCTTTCAATCCGTACCGTACAGAAACTACATTACACTACTACACATACACATACACACGGCATGGAGCAAATACCCTTCAACCAGATCAGCCACCCTCGTTCATCATCCTTTACGAACGCAGCCTTCCAGCCCGACTCGACATTCCGAGCGCAAGTACAGGGGCTGGTGCCAGCTCAATCCCAGAACACGAGCCTCAACTCCACTGCCACTGCCAATATGCCCAGCAACCCGAGCATCGGTGCCAACCCGTCGCAGTCTCAGATCCAGCCTCAGTCACAGATGCAGTCGCAGACACAAATACAGCCCGAAAACGAGTCAGACACACAAAAAGGTGGACCAACGGCTACAGCGCCGTTCTTGCGGGACTTTAGCCTCGTAGCGGAAGCGGCGAAGCGGGCGCAGATGGCTGTTGTTATGCGGGATTTGGAGGGGATTTCACTATAGCCGATAGACGGATCTGAATAAACACGGAGTTGGTTTACTCATTATTGTTGGATAAGGCGTTGGTTATGTTTTTGGATACGATTACGATTACGAGATATGGACATTTCACACCTACATTTACACATATACCTTACATTTACAATCACATTTCAATTGCAAGTATGTCGACTGCAGAATCTAATAGTTGCTGGATACTGTCGCTATCCCTTACAGTGTCCTTCGTACATGTACACCTCTAGTTAACGTGTCCTGCTATATTTACTTCGGAAGGATTCGTGGATCATGCACGGAGTACTTGATCAAATCGACTAATGCAATCGAATGAAAGATGCATATTCCTGCATGGGAGTACACAGTACTAATCCATTGTCAAACAACATAAAAAAAAAAAGTAAAGGAATGACCTCTATCCAACACCTAGCTAACCATATATCCTGTACAAAGTAAATGATTGATGCAAATTATATAACAGGGGTTGAAGGGAATGTGAAATGAAAATAAAAGCACGCCAGACTCCATGTATGCCGCTTTTCTTTACAGTGAATGAATGTGTAGTTTCGATAGTTGTAGCAATGTTAATGTTGAATCGATGTCGACTCAATGTCGAATCAATGTCAGTGATGATGTGATGCGTCCCGTATTACCGCTTTTCTTATCTTTCTCTCTCCCAAACTCAAGGTGAATCTGCAGACCGCTCACAGATGCGTTGACGACCCAATCAAATTCGGCTGCGAAATACTCTCTCCCACCCTCTTCCTCCGCTGCGAAAACCCACCCCCAAACATCGAAAACCTTCTACTCATCCGTCTCCCGACATTCCCACTGCTCCCGTGATCCACAGACCCGGCCGTCGAAAAAATAGACAACGGCCTCGCTGACTCCGGCCTCGAAGCAGCAGCAGGAGCAGGCGAACTCGACGGCGGTGCCTCAAAAAACACAGACCCACGTCTGCGACTGCGGATCTTCTCCGCCGTCCCCTTGGGGTCCAACCCCAGCGTAAAGTCCTCCTTGATATCGTCTAGCGCATGCGAGACCCGTCTCAGCAGATGCGGCTTCTCCTCTGCGATTGAGGGCTCGCGCTGTTCGAGACCGTAGGCTTGCAGAGGTGTTTTGAGGTTTGTGTTTGTGTCAGGCGGATTGGGTGTTTCGGATAACGGGGAGGAATAGAAACGGCGGGATTTGATCATTGTTGGGCCGCCGGACGGCGAGGGCCCGGCTGTTGGGATTGTGGACTGGGTTGAGGTTGTGTGTTGGCGGGTGTGAGAGTTGTAGTGGGTTACTGTGATTGGGACGGGGACGGGGCCTGGGGGGACAGGCCAGGCGAGATGGCGGGGGCTGTCGGGGGAGGAGGGAGATTGGGATTCCGGGGAGGAGGACATTGTTGCAATGTGAGCGTAGCGAGTTGTAGCTGTGCTCTGTAGACTATTGAAGAGTATTATAAGATAGATAAATAAAGTGAAGTATGGTTGTATAGTTTGGAGAGTAAAAACAAATCCTGGGGGGATGAAAGAAGAAAAGAAAAACGAAGATTCGGACGAAGAAAAACAGCAGTGGACCTGATTATTGAGCTAAGTATTCAATGCCATCTCTAGTTAGTTATACTAGTCAATAATATTATTCTCTCCTGAGACAAGGAGATCATCCCGCATGACAACTGCGGCTGTGCGGTTAAAAATATCTATTATGTATGCGTTATGCTGTATTATGCAATAGAGAATGCACTCGGAATGCAAACTTTTGTTTAGTTTACCCACGATAATATCGCACATGCGGTGTTGACTGGTCCGCATCTTCTCTCGTGTGGACACAAAAACAGAGCAAATAAACACCAAAACTGAAACCTCTCCCCATCGTTCGTTCGGCTGGTTCAATCAGATCGGAGTGTCCGTCTACCGTCCAAGCCATAGTCCACATAACTAACGGAGGAGTGGTCTGGATGGCCAATCGGAGCCACTCGCTGACCGACCTTTACCGAGGATCATTCGATATAAACGGGATGATATCAATTCAGAGTTTTATGGTGCATACCATATGGAGCACAAAAGTTTAACGCTGTCAGATGGTTCATATTGGCATTTTTAAATTACTTGCACAAACTAGTCTATCTGCTACATGGTGAATCGCAAATTGGTATCTGTTTATTCGGTCAGAATCCCACTCGCTAGCGTGACAGGGACCATGTCCGGGACGGGACTCACCTAAGGGGTGACTGGAGCTTAGCTGTGGCTTCTGCGTATACCGGTCTTCTAGTTCCGACCGGATCGTATTCAACAGTTGCAGGTAACTCTGATATGGCCACCGTTCTAGTGACTTGATAAACGCCCAACTCAATGCTCCTCGCGCCTCACCGTCCTGGAACGTATCCGCCGAAGTCTGCGTGTCTTTTGACCCCGAAAACATGACCACGTCTGCGGGAGACGTCTTGGTCATGACCGTCCGCTCCCTTGCCGAGCTCCCAATCGCCGCTTTCTTGAAGAACCCGATCGCCGTCTCCGCCATGCTTGACAGATCGCCATTGCCGTATGAGGTGATGGCGGAGAATAGATCTTGCGCGGCTTCTTTGGCGAGATTGGGTTCCTTCAACACCCCTTGCGTCGAGTACACGTAGGGAAGGTCTAAGGCTGTACCGGAATGGCACGAGTCGAAGATGGCGGTTAGCCGGACACCTGGGCGGAGTGGTCGGACCATGATGGCGTGCATGTCGTCGTCGACGATGTGGCCGGCGGTGCGGTAGTCTACGGGGTAAATTACGTCGTCGTAGCCTGTCTTTGTTAGACGAGGCTCCTTTTTTTTTTCTTCTTTTCTTTTTCTTTGTACTACTTACCATCATCTTCGTCGCCGTCTAAATCGGGTGTTCGTCCACCGTGGCCTACAAATTAGCACTAATCAATACTCAGGGGGGGTATGCGGCACGTACCGGAAAAATGAATAAACAATGAATCATTCGGCTGCGCATCCCTCACCAACCACTGCATCGCACGCATCATATTCGCCTTAGTCGGCATACTCATGGGATTCTCCTGGTCATCCGTAAGAATGACCATATCCTCGCGTCGATAGCCATGCTTCTCATGCAGGAACCTTGACATATTGGCGACATCATTGATGCAGCCTTTCAGCTGGTTGGGCTGACCGATGTAGTTGATCCCAATAAGCAGGGCGCGGCGTCGACCGGTGCAGGTGGAGTATTGAAAGTGGTAGTTGGAGGGGGCGCCGTGGCCGAAGTGTTGGGGGACTTGGGGGGGTGGAGGGGGAAGGTTGTCGTTCCATGATTGTTGGCCTTTTTATTGTTAATATTTTCTCGATTGAGTGTATTCGGTGATGCTTACGGTGATGCGAATATGGTGATGGGGTATGCGATGGCGGAGTCGGGGTGTGATACGGGGGATAGCCGTAGCCTTGCGGTGGAGGCGGCGGTTGTTGGTAATAGCCTTGTGGAGGATATTGGCTGTCTGGTCAGTCCAGTTCGTGCTGTGTACGGAATAGGAATATTGGCAACATACCCGTACTCTGGCCACCAAGAATTTGAACGTTGGTGATACATTTTCTCTAGTGTATTCGAAAGTAACGGAGATGAGATGAGAAGAGAAGAGAAAAGAACGACGACGACGACAACAACAGAAATTCAAGATAAAGCCAACATGGCTGGCTGAGAGCGGAGCATTTCTACACACTCGGCCTATCAGCAGGGCGCGATCAACTTTACTGTGCTGTATACATTCACTGCCGGGCGTTACAAGGCATTTTTGAGTGTTCAACTGCCTATCACAGTAATCTTCTGGAACATTCGTCCTTTAGGCACCAGGATTCGAACCAATAAGACTGCTGGGCACTGGGCGTTGACTCCACATTTGGTGGTAGGGCTGCAGCCTTATGATGATTGATTGACGAATCAGCCAGGAATGTCAGGTGATTGTCTATGAATAGAGTTGTTGCATAGTGAATAGAGGGTGGAATGTGGCGATGACAGTCATGTCATCCGCGGAGTTGAATATGTATGATGGATACACGCTGATAAGATAATAATACTCAGAAAGCATGAAGGGGAAAAGAAGAAAAAGAAGGAGAAAAAGGAGGGAAAGAAGGAAAGAAGGAGAAAGGGAAAGAAGGTTATAGACTAAGGTATGCACGCCAGCACTGATATATGCTGACTGTGGAGGATTGCTAAGTATCGGTCGAATGCCGTCCGAATATCAACATGTCAGCAAGCATAGAGTAAAAGAAAGCCACCTGATGAAGACACCTGACCTTCGTATGGTGATATTTCATCTCAGGATCAAGTCATATACTCACTGGTCACTCGTACGGTGATACCCAATGCCTATAAATGGGGCGAATCCTTCTGTGCTGATGAACTCCCGACAACTGGCCACCATGCTGTTGCTGACTACATTGAAGATCAATAAGTTAACCTCCGTCGTACAGCTAGTGTAACTGTCAGCATTCCATTTTCCATCTTCCATCGACGTCGACGTCGCCATCTTTTGCACATAGGCCCTGTTTCAACACAAACCGGACGCTTCCGGGTGTCGAGGCCATGCGGGGTCAAGCCCCATTGCGAATTCTCAAGGCAGGACTGATTCTGGGGTGCAGGATTCGTTTCACCCTTGGTGAGGCAGTGCAAGCGGCCCGGCTGATACGCAACGAATCGTGCCCACGCCGACCGATGTCAGCCTTGTTCTTTATGTCCGGGATACTCTATTCAGCACCGTGTATCATGTAGTTGTCCGTGACAATCCGGATAGAAAGTTCAGGAATACCGCCAGATCAAAACGCAAGACGCAGTAAGAGAGATGGATTGCCATGCACGGCACTGACCGCACAGCTGTCGGGTCGGTCATCAGGATGCTTATCGGTCGGTGTAGAATCATGGCGGATTGCGATAGATTTTGAATAGTAGAAGAAATCGTGAATCCAACAGAACGAGCATTCTTGGACGACTGTACAGAAGAATTATCGAACCCTGGGGCGCCTTGAGACGAGGTATCGTCGAAGGATCGAGCCAGATCCAGATGGCGAGTCAGCACGTAAGAAGCAGTCATCCTGGCTAGCTCGTATTAGCCGCAGCATAGTCGATCTAACTGATTTTTTTTTTTTTTTTTTTGTTTTTTTAGCTTCTTTTATGCCTTAATCCGAAATTTATGTTGTGTTCCGTGTAAGGAGGTTGGATGTGGACCGGCTCCAACTATCGGTGGCCAATGCAGCGGTCTTCAGCTGGTAAAAGAGCCGCAATTCGGTGAAACTGAAATTATTCGCCTCGATTGATTCAGGAAAAGGATTCTCTTGGCCAGCGGCAGAAAGCGATTTGAGCCGCGTGCGAAAAGACTAGCAGTGGGCTGTGAAATGGTGGCTGCTGCTGTAGAACCTGACCCCCAACGCCAATCATGGGGGGTTCATAACCTTCTTTGAGCCTCAATGCGCTTCTCTTTGCTTTTCAACCCTGATTTAATAGCAAGCACTATGGCCATCACCATGGCTGTGCTTTTTAAGCCATCTGCTTTCCGGTCTCGTGCTTATTTACTACGTTTTGCTCCCTTTGCCCATTACCCATCATCCCTCGTATAGCGTGGCATACACTAGGATGACCGATCTCACAAGGAGTCTGGACTCCATTCCTTATGATGTTTTTTATCAAATCGCTTCCAAACTGGATTGCCATGATTTTATCAGCCTCAGCCGCGTCAACCGCTCTCTGAATCATGCTATGAGCAGTGAGCCTATCGCCCGAAAGACCATCGAGGTGAGTCTACTTGAGTCGCCTTCTGCACTACCTTAAGTTATCGTCTTTAACGCGACAACAGAACAACCTCCTCCATACAAAAGAAGGACAAGATGCAAGGCGGTCAAAATCCGGCTACCGCAAAGCCGTTGGTCGCCTGTTCGATATTAAAGAGTCCTTCGCCACTGCTCAGCCATACTCAGCCTCCGTCATCGCCTACGGTACCACTTTCCTCTACGACTCTGGTTCGCTGTGCTACGTCCACGATGACGATATCCGCGTCCTGAACGTACATGGTGCAGCCCAAAAAGAGCAAGTGATGAACATCTCCAATGTTGTCGCCCGTCTGTTGCCCCATCACGCACCAGGCACCAGCCCCATCCGGCTGTCCTTGCTGCACTACAGCGACGGTATTCTGGCGTTTCTGGTCGAGCTGGCTGAGGGACCGGAGGCGTGGCTTTTTGCCATCGATTTGCGACAGCGACCGGCGAATGCGCGTAATGGTCGCTTGCGGCTGCGGACTCAGCTGTCATCTACGCGACGATTGTTTGTTCGTCATAATGGCTCTTATCTCTACTACGGTACTCACTCGTCCTTAGGGTACGATGGATATCCGTTATGGGCGATTCACTGCGTGAATCTGAAGACGGGTCGTCATATGTCGGAGAAGCCTGTGGAGTTGGCGCACTTTGCGGGCAATGAGATTGGTCAGACAGTGTGTTTTGGCTTGCACCAGAATCATTTGTATGCCGTCTCGACACAGGTGGATTGCGAGGAAGAAGAGGTTGACTGGACGTCGTTCTATATTTGGGTCTGTCTTGCTCCGGAACCGAATACGCGACGACAGGTTACTCCGAATCGCACCTGGCGTCGTCAGCACCGCGAGGGTCCTATCAACGATACATGGACAGACCTCTCGCTGCGTCATGATGAGGCTACTAAACGTCTCATGATCCTTGAGTGTCGTCGCGAGTGGCGCAACGGGGGCAGCGAGAACTGCCGCACCTACTACATGCAAGCCCTCCCGTCGCCAAACGAAATCAACACCGGAAAGCAACACACTGGCCCGACAGACGCACGAGTCCCTCATCACGAACCTCTCATCAAAGTTCATGACCCATCAAGCAAACCAAACCCCGAACCACCCAAGAAACGCCTCCGTCGACACTACCACCCAGAATACCAACTACGAGACACCGGCACGGATGATTCCACCCAACGACGAGACTTCATTCTCGCAAAGACAAAATACCACGCCTACAACCTCTCCGCCTCCTCCTTCATTGACCTTGTCAACGACCCCTCCCCAAACCCCACAAACGGCAGTACAAGCCTAATCCCTCATGATCGCCTTCGTTTACGAACAGTCTCCCGAAAACGCAAATGCCCCATCGACGAATCCGGCGAAGAAGGACCCTGCGGCCTCCTCTATCGCCCGGACCTCAACAACACAACCAACCAACCAATAGACCACAGCGAAGAACGGTTCGTCTCGCGCGGCGTCCACATATGGCCTCCAGACAACGCACCCACAGAACTAAACAACCTCCTCTGCCCCAGTGAACGATCAGGTCGCGTCCAAGCCATGGCTGACGAACGATCAATCGTGTACTCAGTTAACCACGACGGTCTGACAGATGGTAAACAAGCATTTATCCTGATCAACTTCGATCCATCGATCAAATTCCCCGGCCTCACAAAGCTGTACCAGTACAACGACCACCTGGACGAGATGTTTTCCTCAGCTCAAGATCCAGCTGGTGTGGCTGTTGGCGTTGAGCAACCGCAGTTCGGGGGTCCGTCGAGAGAACGGCATAGTATGTCTGTTGTTCGGACTACGGGGACGAATGTGGGGTTGCCGTCTGTGAGGGAGGAGGCGGCGATATATTTGAGGATCAATCGGGGGTTCTGGTTGAGATAGGTTAGGCTGATAGTCAATAATAATATTCATTATTTATACCTTGGTGATTCAAGTAGTTATACTGTAATAAAACCAATAATGAATATCTACTAGGTAAATTAATTTCATCTTGTATGCAACCACATCCCAACAATCAATCCTCACGGCCAGCAAGCTCATTTCTATTGCATATTGAATCCCACAAAACCCGGTCGTGAAACTTGAATAACCAACACCGTAGTCTCTTTATACTGTGTAGAGCCCTTTTGTATGCGCCTCTTCTTTAACTACAGAACAATCTCTTTTCAATTCCGGATGCCAAATCGAGATTCCGGCAACTTCAGTAACCAGACAAGCCAAGCATGAACAGGTCGTTCCAGCTGGGCCGATTAAATCAATTCATTTCCCACATAGTCATAGGTTTAGTGTTAGCGACCTACGTATATATAGCGATAGTAAAACCTTTTTTTTTTTTTTTTTTTTTTGTCCTGCTTGGCTAGACATACAGCGGAAGTGAATAGCAAGTATAACCTGGAGTCTTGTGCCCTGGCATCAACTTTCCTCTGTAACTGTCATTTATCAATACATGCTTTTTACTGTATTAAAAGACAGTGAACACAGGCAATACATATCCTTTTGAACATATAACGATCAACTTCTTCAGAATTCATCATTATTCCTACTGTTGAACCATATCTTGCATGATGTATGTATATATGCGTTGGCCCTATGATTAGGCAGCGGTGAGGTGTACGATGACAATGGCCAATCCTTTGAACCAATAAGATAAACAGTAGATCCTGAGGCAAGATAGAAATGGCAGTCTTTAGTAGCTCGACCATTTCCTGCCTGGAATCCTGGAATATCAAACTTCTTCCTCTGGCCTTTAATATCATTCATACTGCCCCCTCAACATGCAAGCTAAAATTGGAGGTAGAAATCATCTGACCAGTCGACTAATTCATTACTCGTTGGCTAATTAAAAGCGCAGTTGTCGGTCAACGTGAGATTGTGGAAGTCCGGGGTGCAAACGGAGAGCCCCCTTATGTAGTAAGTATTGACGAACAATATTCAAAACTACTGGATGAGAGCTGAATCATCTTAACTTGTAGGTCTGCTTTAGCGACGGCCATGGGTCTCATTTTCCTGAGTCCAAATGCAGTGATAGACTCGAGTTCATAAGGAGATGTCTACTTTGAAAACGTTGGGGTAGTAACTGTTATTTATTCCAGTCAGATTACACTCTCTACAATCTTCGTGTGATCTTCCATGTACATAGTAAATTTTTTGCGGTCTTTCTAAGACAACCTAGTGAGATTGAGACTCGATTGGAGAAATGTGGCTGCATATGCCGGATTTTATTGTTTATATTAGTATTTTTGCTTGGATACTGAGCTCTGATTCTATTAATTCTCATTAAGCACTTGTAATAAAAATGGGCGTTGCTGACTCCCAACCACCAGAGCCAAACACATCAACAAACCGGTTGTCCAACTTGGCTAATTGAATCGGTCCATCGCCCACATACACATCGCTAGATAGACCTGGAAAACAGGGCTCCCCGTCCGCTCAGCCGTAATAAAACCTTAGGTTTGGTCAATGGTTATTCTTTCCCTTCCCTCTTTGCTGCCTGAAGAGCGATGGCGGGGTGGGCTGTAGTTGGGTGGCTTATACGATGAGTAGGATGATCAAGTAGGTGAACAGATGAGGAGAGCACCCAAAAGGCTGAAATCCTTGGTATCAAAAGGTTGCCTGTTCAACCCCCACGGCGAACAAGTTCCCGCTCACTACTCGTCGAATCCAGCGAGCCCGGTCGTGAAACCAACGGCGTTGTTTCTTTATACTGTTCATTAGCTTTCTGGAGGCGACGCTTCTCCAACCACATCACGACACCAGCAACTCCAGCTACCAAACAAGCCAGACACACAAACAGGCCAGTCGTCCAGCTAGGCCGATTAAACCGATTCATTACCCACATACACGTCGCCAGACAGATTTGGAAAACAGTATTTAGAATGTTCCCCCATACAACAGCATCCATTTTCCACAGCGGCGTGCAAGGGACCTTCAACGTGGTGCTGGTGGGCAGCACACTCTGACTCGTACAATCAAGTAAGAACCATTTCCCATGGATCTGCGCAAGACGGTTAAGCCCTTTTGTCTGGCGTTTTTCTGACCAACCAAGCCGCCAAAGGGCCCAAAAGTAGAGATCTCGAAGGCGCCACGGAGCCAGCCCAAGGCCGGTTACGCAAAAAAGCGCATTTAGGATTTGCGAGTCAATCTCGATCCAGATGCGGCGTGATGAGTTTAGACTGTTGCAGTCTGGATGGCACATTGCTGGTGCTGCGTTGCACATTAAGAGAAATAGCATGCCTCCCCAGGCGATCACATTTAGGCCATAGATCGTGATGCAAAAGCCAAGAGGTGTGAAGATCCAATGTAGGAAATCGCGAGACTTGTGAGACCATGATTTGTCAGGTTTGGCGTTTTTCTAGGGTGGTATTAGTGTGAATAATAGCGTAGGGTTTGGGAGACTGACCTGGTAATCTTTATCGAGTAAGGATTTTTTGGAGGTTGTTGGATATAGAAGGGTTGGATCTGTACTTTCATGAGTAGTCGCCATTTTTCCGTTGTTAAGATGATACTCTATATACAATGAAAAATTGCATAGGACTGGCGGTTTATATTTATTTTAAAGGTTCTAGAAAAGACTTAGATAAATGTACGAATATGGAATCCCGGTTGCCTATCGTGTGTAGTTTTCGTATTCGTATCCATACCCTTTTCCAGGATGGCTTTCATGTCTTTTCTAGAATATTGCCGGATGTGAGATTTAAGTCAATTTTAATTCCCATACAACTCAATAGTTTATAGTTCTAGGACAAAAGTCTACGTAATTTGCCGCAACCACGGAAATATATATAATCGCCCAAACATTACCTTTCCACGTAAATCAACCACACATCAATATTTTTACTCATTTTACTGATGTGACGGTCAGCAGGTGGCCGAAAAGGGCTACTTCGGCGGCCATTTCAGGAGTCCTGCTAACAAATTCCCGTCTTGGCATCAGGGGAGCGTATTCCCACGGCCACAGGCTTTCCCTCCACGCCAGGCCTCTTGACGCTAGTCTCAAATGAAACTTTTGTTGCTATTTTGTTAACATCATCTATCTAGACGCCCTCGCTGCGGTCACTGCGGAGGGGAGCCGTTCTTTACTCCCCCGTCGGCCATCTTGCTCTCTCTAGTTACAAGTCTCATCTCATAGTGCCGACTGTGTCCTTCCCTGCTTCCATCCTTCCTCCCACGAGCATCTCTTGGAGCACTTCCCATTCTTTTGAGGTTTCTTCATCCACAAAACCACTGTTATTCTCACCTTTTTAGTCTTCTATTCAGACTTTCTTTTTGTTTGCCAGCTTCCTGCGGGCTGTGTCAACCATGGTGCCTCACTCCTGACCGGTTGGATCTGGTGACAAAGAGAATCAGACCGATGCCAGCTCCGACCTGACCGAGATCTTTTCAGACAACGACTTTGATAGTGACTCCATTAGCGACCCAGAACTTGATAGTGAGGATTCAGATGATGAAGATGAGGATGAACCCGACTATGATATCTCTGATGATGAGGGCCAGCTGCCTCCTGATAACTATTTGGCCCAAGCAGAGAGCTTGAATGTCTCTTAGCTTTGATAGACAAGGTACAGCAACATCATCAGGAAATACTTGATGAGACTCGCATGTACTGGAATAGGTAGATAACTCTATTGGCCATCAAATCATTTTGAAAACTCACTAGTGGCTTCCTGGTAGATATTGTCAGTATATTGGCGTTGACCTGGTGCAACACTGGCAATGGACCCCAGACTCAAATGAGACGGTCTGTTTTCTGTATGCATTTTTCGGCTGGCGGTGTGATATCTGTCGTGGCGAGAATGGTCGGCACTGCCCAGCATTATATACAAAAGTTCACTTGAGTCATTCTGGAAGTGTTGGCATCATTTTCTGAAACAGAAAACGGCGTCAGGACTGAGTGTCACGGGTTCGGAATAGTAGATAATAACGAACTGATATTCCTATCTAAACTATTGTAGCCATCGACGAGAATATCGAATCTGGAGAAAAGAAAAGAAGAGGAAAGTCTATTTACACAAAGAAGTTCAAGTGTCCTGGGCTTGTAGTTAGGGGGAAGCCATTCCAGATTTCAGAAATGCTCAAGTCTAGTCCAAGTCTCCTCACACAAGATAGGATCAGTCCAGTACTGTTATGGGGTTCTCGTACGAACCCAAAGGATGACAGTTTGGCTAAGGCCAGCACGGAACGCAGCCAGCAAGGGGACCGAAACGACTACTGACGACCTTCGTACGATCCCCTTACATGAAGACTATCGGTGACCTTTTCGGTCAACTCCTGATCTCCGAGAACACTATTTGGAATCTCATTCTCGTACGACCATAAAAGACTGCTCCCCACCTCTGCCCTGTTTGTTACCTCTTCAACGATTCCTTCTTGTATAGTAAAGGGTAGCTTTAGGTTAAGACAACTTGAGTTGAACCCCCTAACAAGTACTGGTGCTCGTCGGGGTTCACAGGAGGAAGAGGATGCAGCGTCACTAAGGCAAACAGATATAATAAGAATAAAGAAAAAGGAGTTTTGAAGACAGTATTTGCAGCAGTTGATGCTGGGTTGGGAAGGAGAGTTTGTTGAAAGGTGTGATGAGAAACAGAAAGATGGCCAGAAAAAGGAGACAAGGGGAAGGGAAAAAGTGACATTTTATATGGTCACCTGGGGAAGCCTGTAGGAATCAGAGTGCAGCTGGATTTGGCAGTGAGGGAAGCCATTTTCGCAGCAATTTGATCATGAGTTGAAGAGGTTTGCAGGGTAAGCCAACAGCACAGGGTGCTACAAAGAAAATTGGGCTTGGCAGGTGCAGAATAGTGGCCAGATCACATGTGTGAATCATTAAAGCAGCAACAGGTGGCTGCTACACTGAGTGGAAATGACACTGTAAATGGCTTCACTGGCAGTCATTTTCAGTGTTGATTTCACAGGTACTCACATTCTAGTTGTAAAAGCAAAAAAGATCTTGCACCGCCACAGTCTTCGCGGGGCTTCTTTTTTCATATCTTCTTTTTCGATATTCCGTGCTGATTTTCAGGCATCTACCTTGTTTATTCGCGTCAAGGAGACAGAAGAAAACCCACAAGTATAAACATTGCGTGCAACGATAACAATGGCGAGGCAAGATATAGACGACGCTCCATCACCAAACCATCCGCCTGTTATACCGGATAGACCAGGACCAGGACCAGGAACAGGAACAGGAACAGATAATTATCTCGCTCATTCAGCCTCCAATCTATCAATATCCCGTCCCCCAGAATCTGGAAAACGCAGACTTCTCCTCATCTATGTTCATGGCTTCAACGGCTCCGAAGCCAGTTTCCACGCTTTCCCCGCACATGTGCATAGTCTATTGACGGATGCGTTGGCTGAGTCTCATGAGGTGTACACCCGGATCTATCCTCGATACAAGTCTCGGGGTGATATGAAGATTGCTCGGGATCAATTTAGTAATTGGTATGTTTCTCTTCCCCTCCCCTCTTCTTTGTATTGCCCTCGAGGTTTCTTAGAAACGAAAATGTAGAATGCCGACCTGATCGCGATCGCAATCGCAATTATAGGCTGTCACCTCATGAAGCAGATGACCTCGATATCATCCTGTTAGGACATAGCCTGGGCGGCATCTTAACAGCGAATGTCGCTCTTCTGCCATCCTCACCTTCACATCCACACCAGCATCGAAAACATCACGTTTTAGGCCTGATCAATTTCGATGTCCCTTTCCTAGGGCTCCATCCCCGAATAATCCAAACTTCATGCAAGAGTCTTTTCCACCGAGATAGAGATCGAGATCAGATTCCAGCCGGGCATGAAACCGAAACCTTCACTGAAACAGAGACACAAACCACGGCTGAGGCCATCGCCGCGTTTTCTCCTCACTATGACCCTCCTTTCTTCAATGATATACGCTGGGCTGAACGAAGCGGTATGCAGGGGGTCGTGCATTTTTTTGAGAAAAATTATAATCGGCTTGCAAAATCTATACTTACCCGCATTGTTTCGCCGTATGAGTTTGCGGGGTGTTTGAATAATTACCCGACGCTTCGCCGGCAATATAAACAGCTCATGGAGATGGAAGCTGCGCATGATCAAGCATCCAGGATTAGGTTTGTGAATTATTACACGGCGAGTGATTGTCCTGAAACGGTGCAGGAAAAGGATCCTACAGCGTTGAAGGAAACTGACGCTGGAGAAAATGAACACTCGCCACGTGCGAGCATGGGGCATTCGTCGTCGCCAGTAGGTTCAGAAGAAAACACTCTGTGTACGGAGGAACCGTCAGAAAACAAGCCTGGGCCCGAGCCCTGCTCATTGACACCGACCACATCACAATCAGAATCAAAACCACGGCCAGACCCAGACCCAGACCAATCCGATTGCATTTGCGCCTCCGAAGCAACCGATTGCACTTCAAAACAATACAAAAACAAGAAACGTCGGAAGTTCGTCCTATTGCCATCACATCACTGGAGCCATGGTGACGATTCTCTCTGGATACCGGTGAATATGGACAATATGAACGAGATAACTGCCCATCAGTCGCTATTCTTGCCGCATGGAAGGAACTATGACCAGTTGGTTGGGGACACTATGGCGACGATCGAGCAGTGGATACAAGCTGATCTTACGCAACGGATGCTTTCGCAAGAGGAACAGGAGGGAGGAGTTGATCCTATATAAGGGGCCTATACGAACTTGATTTTCTAGAGCGACCGTGACTTTCCCCTTCCGGATGCCACCGCTTCTATGAGGGTGCTCAGGGGCTTGCTCAGTGATTATTTTCTATCACAGGTCGGTACTCAGTGAGCACTCAGTGAGCACTCAGGGCCTACTCAGTGCCTACTCAGGGCGCGCTCAGTGATCAGTCACGTGCACTCTGAGTTGTGATGAGATCTGATAAGTCGGATCAAAGGGATAACGTTAGTCCGACTAGCGAACCTCCGATATATGGCCAGCGTTCGCCACATATAGATAGATAGACAAGCACTCATCAAGCACTCAAGCACTCGTGTACTCTAGGCTACATTAGATAGAGTATATCAATCATTCGTTTCAATTGGGTCTTCTACATATAGGCCTCGTGCAGTCGGATAATCGACTCCTCCGGTTTCCCCTGAACCCATTTCAGTGTGAAGCGGGGTCTCTCGGATCATAGCTCAGAGGGGAAATGTTGGTGAGTCGATTTATCCCGCACTATACGAGGTCTATACGGAGAGTATATATAGCATAATGAGAGGGAACGTAGACGTGCGTTCGTAACTGAATAAGTGCTTAGCTATCTAACCGTGCGCACTCGTTGGCCTATATGACCTTGGTGATTGGTCCAATGTATATCCGACCTATTCTCATCAAAAGTGGCACACAGACAGAACCCCGTCAGCAATGGTGGCTGAAACAGCGCCAGGTAGATATGGCACCAACACTTAAACCATGGCGACTCGAGCTCATTCGTGACATGATACAAGACTCTCAATCATATACTAACGCGGAAATTGCCAAAGCTGCCCATTGTACCCCACGATCAATCAGCACTTGCCGCTCGAACCTACGATGCTTTGGAAGTGTCAGGGCTCCTGCCAACGGTATCAGCCGACGACGGACGATCACCCCACCTATGCTTGAAGCTCTCTGTGAGCGCCTCCTCGAAAAGCCGGATTTATACCTGGATGAGATGGTGGTCTTCTTGTGGGATGAGTTTCGCGTCCTTGTGACTATATATAGCATTGGCAGAGCGCTCGCATCAGTTGGATGGTCTAGGAAAGCCGCAAGGCGGATAGCGAGGGGACAGAATATTGAACTTCGGGACTTCTATCTTCATACCATCTCGTCTTTCCGATCCTACCACTTGGTGTATGTGGATGAGTCGGGCTGTGATAAACGAGCAGATTTCAGACGGACCGGGTGGTCTCCACTGGGAGTGACACCTGTCCAGATTTCTCAATTTCACCGCGAGCAGCGTTACCAGATACTTCCTGCATATGCCCAGGATGGCATCGTCCTTGCACGAGTCTTCCAGGGATCGACAGATGCTGTTGTGTTTGAAGATTTTATACGGCAACTTCTACATCACTGTGGGAAGTGGCCGGAGCCGAAATCTGTTCTTGTCATGGATAATGCCACTTTCCATCGTACGGAGGGTGTTCGGCAAATTTGTTCTGCGGCTGGGGTCAAATTGGTGTACTTGCCGCCCTACTCCCCGGATCTAAACCCGATCGAGGAGTTCTTTGCTGAGCTTAAGGCTTTTATTAAACGACATTGGCTGACGTATGAAGAGAACCCGGGCCAGAGTTTTAATAGTTACCTCGAATGGTGTGTTGATGTAGTCGGGGCAAGAGAGAAAAGCGCGAAAGGCCATTTTCGACATGCAGGCTGGAATATTGAAGAACCGTGACAATCGAATATAAACTGTTCCATTCTATAGTCTATCTTCTATGTTGCACTTACAATGCTTGACCCAATAATTGATGTCCCCAGCAAAACGACGAGCAATGCCTCTTTTGACGCCGTTCTTGATGAAAAATCCCGGATCCTGATCCTCGTGGATCTGCACAAGATCCAGTCCATCTTCAAGGGCAGTATCGCAAGCTTTGTGAAACTCTGCCTTTAGTTTCTCATCATTTACTTGTGATTGCTGCCAGTCACTATATTCAGCAACAGCAAGGTCTCGCAGACCAGGGATCTCAAGGAAATCCGGAGGCGCTTTTCCCGGACACGTGGTCGGCATCGGAGTCGGTGTAGTTGGCACAGAAAGAGGAGAAGTCTGCACAGGAAGGATGTTGGTGATGTTTATAGGAGGATACCCATTGGTGGACTGAGTGCCTCCCTTTTGCCTCTCAAGTCGCTGCTGCTCCTGTATATATAGTTTTTCACGAATTGACTCAGGGACGTCATCGTGGGATTTCAATACACCACCCTCCTCTGTATAGTCCACAAGGGCCCTCAGATTCTGTACTGTCAGCTTAATATGCTTCTTGCTTGTAGGGTCACGCCAGCAATGCGGCCCCAGCTCACATGCTCCACTAGAGCACCGCATCAGACTGTAAACATGGTCCCAAGTAGGAGGTTGCCCAGTGGCCTGTTCTTGTGCACTGATGTTTGCCTGCCGCTGAAGCAACATAAATTGTGTAGCAGATGAAGTCCCTCTTTTATCTGTCCCTCTTGGACTGGGCCTTAGGGAGTGACTGTCCTGACTGTCCTCAGTATAGTTGAATGACATATTCAGTGTTAGTTTCTTCCCAGCATGGAAAAATTCACCCCACACGAGAAGCTGTTTCTCCACAGCAGGCCAGTTCACCTCAGTCTTGTCACAAGAAAGAGTGAGGTCTGGCTGATTACGGTGATTCACTGATACAGCAACAGTTGTATCATCTATTTCAACTCTTTTCTGTGGAAATTTCTTGCCTACAACTTCCTTTAACTTTGGCTCTAAAAAAAGACGCCAGTGAAACCGCGGAGCCAACACCAGGTCTTGCTCTGTGTTTTTCTGGATAGTTTTGTTGTTGAGGGTCATCTTCCACACAATTGAATAGTGAAGACAGGTGGGTGGAAGCTCATCATACAACCTTCCTTCCTCCCACTCATCCAGCTGAAGTAGTCGTATTTGGCTTATTTGAGGAGATCGGTGCTGCGGGAGGAAATCGTCATCTGGGCGGTCTTCAGGGCTAATCAAACTCATCACGGAGGGCGTCTGGCAGAAACCATATCCTGGGGTCGGGGCAAAGAGCGAGGATTGATCGGGTTGGTCATACGAGTCAAACAGCAGTGGATCATTCTGAGTGTTGAATGGGCTACGGCTCATATTTGTGCGGCTATCAAGGGAATAATTAACATCATTGTTCATAAAGAGACTCTAGGGGATCTTTCGCTTTGGTTGATATCTGTTGATTCTTACCTAGAGAAAGCGACCGCTGAAAATAGAGCACAGACAAACAAGAAGTTTCGTGGAGTAAGCAGCATCGGACGACAGCGATGCTGGGTTATACGAGTGTTCTATTAGATCTGATCGGTGATGACGGTGCCCTGCGAGATGCAATGAGGTTGAGACCTGTAAAGCGGGCTCAACAGTGTTTGCCTTGTTTGCATATAGATCTTCCAGGTTCCAGGGTGTTCCATGAAGCTGATCGACCGCTATTCTCGATTGGGAATAGACGTAAGCATCTAATATTGGAGGCTCACAAATTTGCGCCTTTTTGCCAACACAGAACATCGTGATCGAAGAGAAAAAGACATTTCAATTCTGGGGGTCGAAACGCCAAGGACGCAATGACATGGATACTAAATATCATGTCGTTGGTTTCCGTGTTGATGCTATTTACCAATGAATTATGCATGGATGGATCTTTCAACAGTCCCGCAGTCAGTAAGTCGAGGGCCGCGCGATGGGTCTTTAGCAGCCAATTGTTCTACATGGCGTATTATCACATGATTATCCATACTCAAGAGTCAAGCACACCCCCGATGAAGAGAACAGTTTCATGGTAGAAGCAGTTTTCGCTATCGACTGTAGAAAAGATCTGAATGGGTTCTGTATTTGACAATTGTCACGGGCTCAATACAGCCATTAGCGAAATCATCTTCATCAGCAAACATATGATGATTGCCTTCTGGTCCCACCGCCAAGGCATTAGAACTGGTATTTCATTCGGCTGTCAGCTTTTAATCGATGGCCGCTGTAATTTTCTCCTGAATGAAAGTAATATACCGGCACGATTACATTATATTACACTTTATCTAGCTTGAAAAATACGGATCTGAAACCATCCATGGAACTCGGCGGAACCTCATGGTAGATCTTGTGAGCCAGACAAACTACCTGCTTCTGTTCCTGGTCTTCCAGGCTTCACTAATGTTTAACCTTCCTCTGAATATTCACTAACAGATGTTTTGTGTCGTGAAACAGCAAAGGCTGGTAAAACCACAGGCTCCAACAGCACGTTCTGTAATTTGCCCATAGCTGTTATTGTGGGTAAATAACAGATACTAGGCCACTGTAGGGCGTGAACTCTGATCAGCAGTCAGTAACAACAGAGTTCTCATCGCACTTGAAGAGATGATGTCCAACTTTCAGCATCCATGATGTTGATGACGTCGATCCATTTGGGCCATTTGGGCGATGGGATGAGTCGTCACAGTATGCACCAACCCTGGGCAACTTCGGCTGTACCCTGCCTCATCATCTAGTCTTAACTCTACCAACATTGGCCTGTCTGCTGTTGAATACCCGGCTTTTCAACCAAACGCGCCGCAGACATGTAGACTTCTGTTGCTACAATTTGGTGATTGGGATGAGGGTCAGGCATATGATGAGGACCCATCAACCTGTATTCACTACTTGATTGAGTGGAAGGTCACCCTCAATAACAGGACTGTGGCAAAAGATCCTGAACAGAACCTTGTTCTAACCCCAAAGTCTCATTGGAGGGTCTTCCTAGAGCCAAAGTTAAAGGAGCTTGTAACCGCACGAGCATTGCAGCCTGAGGGATCAAGCATACATCGGTACCAAAGCATCGACAGTTCTGGATAAGGGCTCGCTATCGGCATACAATCGAGACGTTTTAGGTACAAATAGACTATTGCGCTCATAGATAGAGAATCAAGCCGATTCGTTCATTACCCGATCCGATATCGATTCGTAGCCGAAACGGTCGTTTGATCATATAAACGCCTAGGCCCTACACTCTGGCGTTACAGTGGGGGTCGAAACCTCGTTCCTCCCTTCACGAGCCAAATTGTTTTCCAAGGCCCGATTCCGAAAGCTTATTTAGAAAGTTATCCAATAAGTATGCGACCTATAGTTAGAGCATCCAAAAGTAACCAATAAAACGAGCCCAGTTGCTGAGTAATAGATTTGGCGCCCTGGCATTCTGGGACAAAAAACAATGATGGCTGTGGCGGGAAGGAAATCTCGATACTCACTGTACAGAGCTACTGTGCAGGAAATGCCCACACTGAGGGACTGTGTCAGATGACACAGCTGTTATAGTATCAGGCAGATATTGATTGGTCTGCCATAGAAGAACAGCTTCTTGCATGTGGGGATCTTTTCCTTGCAGGCAAGCAATTGCGAATTTATATTTCATTTAAATTCAAAGATGATAGCTGTACCTCAACAGGTACTCGCAGGATAGACAAACAAAGGTGTTCATCTACCACCCAGTGCATGCTTCAAGAGTAAAATCTACAGATTGATGCAGAGGAAGGCACATCAGGACAACTCTCAGTGTGACAGTCTCGAACAATACAAATGTGGAATTCAGCGGACAAGGATCAACGTCCACCCTGAGATCCATGCCTTTTTTCATAGCCATAACGCCACTAGAAAACAAAGCTTTTCTTTAACCCTCGAACATCCTCGTTAATCTGAGCCATATACAAAATAGCAAAAGCGCTATGAAGAAAAGTGGACACAGGTGAAACTCTAGCGCGGTGCGTTTTATTGAGGCTACCTTAGTCAGGCTACTCACCCCTCTGCTCAGCCTTTACTCAGTGATCAGCTCAGGCTGCTCAGGGCGTGCTCAGGGCATGCTCAGGTCTACGCAGTGAGCAAAAAGCAGCGAGGGGTGAGCACCAAAACGGAAAGGGCAAGCCGTCGAGCTGTCTAGAAAATCAAGTACGTATGTAACCGACGCGGATGCGTCGACTTGGCAGATCAGGCATATACCGATACACGAGAAATAATGTCTAATCACGACCGAAACCAGTTCCCAGCTTCTCTCCCCTAGCCTGTCTTGCAAGCTCGACATCTATTTCCTCCCTGAGAGAGTCCTCCCAATGACTGAACGAGCTCTTAAATCCTAGTCTCTCTTTTATCCTTTGCCCTTGAACCTCCAAGCTGGCCCCGAAGATAATTGGACCGTATGGATGCAATGAAGCCGACTCTTCCACCGTGAGATGGTCCACACCATCTTCAAGCAAAACGGACCTTTCTCCCAGCAGCGAAACAACTCTTTCGACATATGTGGTTTTGTCCGGGGTTTTCCAGCCGGAAGTAAGGAAGTAATATCCATTGCCGTTCCAATCCGCTTTAGCAGAAACAGCTCCGCTGCTGATATCAGATTCAGCCTCGAGTTCTCCATATGCAGCCTCAACCAACGCCACTATTCCATCTGCCACATCTTTCACATGAGCCGTTGCAAATTGATTCCGCCCCTCTCCAACCACAAACGGTTTCTTGCGTTGCAGAATCATGTTGATGTGATATGCAGATCCTCGCTTGATCGGACCAGTTCCCACGCCAACCACGGCCGGTGGGCTGATGATCGCCGTCCTGACGCCATTCTCGGCATGCTGGGATGCAAAAGAAACGATCCTCTGCTCTGTGGCAGCATGTATCTGCGTTGCAGGCAAGGTGAGGATTTCAGGGAGATCGGAAGTGTCATTCCAGCTTCTGGAAGGCGGAAGGCCCGGTGCAAGGGCGAGGTCTAATACAGTAGCAGCTCCTGAGAGATGAATGTAGTACTTGCTGGACGCAGGTCTGGCTGCGGAGCCGATTGCAGCAAGAAGAGCATCTGTCCCAGTATCATGGTCGCCGTTGGCGAGCTGGAGAGTTATTGACGCCTTGACTGCCTCGGTGGCAAGGATCTCAGATGTCTCTAGGGAGCCGATGATGGTGGAAATGGATGCAGCGGGAAATGCATTTCGAATTGCAGATGCTTGGTTTTGATTGCGCACGATCACCGTGACGTGCCAAGATGGATGCTTTTCCACGAGTGCTGAGAGCGTAGACCCGCCGATATAGCCAGATGCGCCGACGAGGAGGATGCTGAAGGTCATTGTGGAAGCGATCGTACTGGTTCAGTTGGAAAGAGATGTCGAATCAGCTGAGACTGCATTCTTCGATGGATGGCTGCCATCTATTAACTGCGTAGAGGTAGCAGGGTTTCATCTTTGATTATCAAGCAGAAGTGCAGTTCGCGATTATGAATACGGGATGCTAATGATGTGATAGTAGCTGTCTTCCCCGGATAAGAATGGCATTCCTCCCGACTCGGGTCAGTCAAGATCCGATACCCGGTTGCGATACATAGCTGTCCGGTGACTGTATACATTTTACGGTGAAGTTAAACAGGATAACGTGGATGATAAGCGGATGAGACAGATAAGTGAGACACCAAATCGCCGCGATGCGATCCCCAACATTCAACCATGTTTTCGCTCACCAACAAAAATGGAATTGTAAAAAAAAAAAAAAAAAAAATCCAAGTGATCTTAGCTGTCTAAGCTATTCGAAGTAGCCCAAATTTAAGTGCCCGAGCTGCCGCAGAGATCTACTCAGTCAGCCATGCAACTTTGAGTCAGTTACTCAAAGGAATGGCATCACAGCGCGATATCAAGCCTAAATCACAGAAACTCACTGACTTAGAGGAGACAGTAATTGCTCAACATATCTTTGACCTGGATGCGCAAGCATTTCCTCCTCGGCTTTGCCATGTTGAAGATATGGCCAATTGACTACTCAGAGAATGCGGCGTGTCATGTGTTGGCAAGTGCTGGGCTTCAAACTTTGTAAAGCAACAACCACAACTCAATATGCGCTTTTTCCAAAATATGACTATAAGAAAGCTCTATGCAACGATCCAGAGCTAATTTGTGGATGGTTTGCGCTTGTACAAAATACTATTGCAAAGTATGGCGTGGCGGAATCGGATATCTGCGACTTTGATGAGACAGGGTTTATGATGGGCATTATCTCTACAGGCATGGTAGTCACCAATGCAGACTGATGTTCCGGTGCAAAATTATCGCAGCCTGGAGGCTGTGAATGGGTCAAAGTGATTCAGAGGATCAATTCACAAGGACGGATGATCCCACCATTCATCATGGTTGCGGGTAAATATCACCTCTTGACCTGGTATGATAAGAGCATAAGAGCCCATTACCAAAAGGTTGGGTGATCGCTACATCTGAAAATGGCTGTATGATGAATGAGTGAGGCCTAAAATAGATTCAGCATTTCAACAGGTATACTAAGCCTTGTTCTACGGGTCAATATCGTCTCCTTATCTTAGATGGGCATGAGAGTCATCATTTTACAGACTTCAAGCTTTTCTGTAAGAAAAATGACATTATCACACTTTGTATGCTTCCTCATTCATCACATATTCTTCAGCCTCTTGATGTTGGTTGCTCTGGCCCTCTTAAAAAAGCATATGTGTCACGGCGCTCTACTAGGATAATCGAAGATCCAACTCATGGGTTCTACCTAGGTAGCTATCGACGAGAATAATCAACATGAGGAAGGAAGAAAGGGGGTGACGCCGTATTTATCAACAAAGCAAACAACTGCATCTCACGTGATAACCAGCCAACGTGACCAGGCTATCACAATATGGTCGGCAAATTGAGAGCCTAATGCGCCCTCATGTTATGCATATCACCAAAGAAGATTTCTTTCCTGCTTTTTTTGCTGCGTTTCAGAGCTCAATGACAGTAAAAAACATTCAAAGTGGTTTTAGAGGGCAGAACTTATACCCCTAGACCCAGAATCTGTGATTTTTAGGCTAGATGTGAAGCCACGGATGCCAATGCCTGTTGATGAGGTCCCTGGGATGTCTACTCCTTGGATTTCTAGGACACCGAACAACCCAACAGAGGCGACCTCACAGTCAGAGTATATAAAGAATTGAATTGCCCAACATCAAAATAGCTCACCAATGTTGACATATAACACTATTGACCGATTTTCGAAAGGAGCACAAGGAATCATGCATAAGATAGCTCTGCTGCAGTCAGAGAATTGGATTCTTTGAGAGCAAAACAAGATGCTTAGCAAAAATTGCAGAGCTAAGAAAATACGTCTTCAACAAGGAGGAAGCATGACTCTAGCTGGAGGACAAGACATTCAGACCCAAATTGATGTAGAGGCACAACTTGAAGAGGAAACACGTCAAAATACTGGTCACCCGAGGACTAAGAAGAAAGAGCGGCACTGTGGAATATGCAGCAATCCAGGACATTACAGGCAAGTCTGTCAAGAAGATGTAGGGGCCTCCGAGGAAAATGATCTTGAATAGTTTTGCTTGGTTTTCTGGTGTTAGAGTTGAATCTACTAGTATTATTTAATGGTGGTGCGGTCAAGTGTATCACTCGCTTATCTGTCTCACCCGCTTATAATGCACATTATGGAAAATAAAAGATATGCCCTATATTCTATTCCTTTCCAATAGCCATTTTTGAGCATTACATCGCGTCATTTGAAATTCTGGAAATCCCAATCTAATCTAATCTAACCTTAAATGCATTTAGTTTAGTGTGTCAAACTAGGCATAATGAAGAATAGTGTAAATTCTGTGGGTTAACCTGCATTTGGTGTGACTATGTACCAGTACTACCAGCTGAACCTGCAGTGGTTGGAATCACACTATCCAGGGTGACCACCAGCGAATCCCGGCTGTTGTATGTTTTTTTTTTGCTTCTTATTCAACGAAATGATCTTCCATGGAAACTGGCATTATATCATCTTTGGGGGTGGCTGTGAACGCGCCGAGCGCTTGGCGCACTCTCCCTCCACTTTTAACCTCAACAAAACCTAGTGCTATGACGATTCCAAGTGACAGCTCCAGATGAACATGAAACAGTAGCTAAGATCTGATAAGGGTTAGAGTGGAACGACCCGGAAAGAGAGCATGCGACACGGGCCACTACTGGCAGAGATTTCCAGAACGTGGGATGCCGAGACCCTTATTCTGTTGATCTTCCTGCGTCAAACGCGCCAATTCGATTTACTGGGTTGGATTGTTTGGAGTACTCCATACATTTTGCCGGATCTTCGCAAATCCCTGGTCACAATATGTCGGATAAAGGTACTCCGTACGGAGTGTAGGGTATAGAGTCTGCAAGAGACAACGGATCGACAGGAACTTACCAATGCCAAGATGAAATGAGGATGGGTCTTCTCAAGGCTCAACACGGGGAATCTTGGCCCGGATGGCTAATTGAGATGTCATGGACTATGTAAAGGGGGATGTTCTCGCACATTCTTGCAGTTCTATCCTCATCTTTCTTCATCAATTACTCACAACGCCATGCGATTCCGTCAAACAAGCAACCTCGTAGCCGCGGCCATTGGGCTCCTGGGCTCCGCTACTGCTTTCGAGAACGATGCATATGACTACATCGTCGTCGGTGGTGGCCCTTCTGGTATTATCGCGGCCGAGAGGTTTGTCGAAGCCGGTCACAAGGTCTTGCTTCTTGAAAGAGGGCCCGGTTCAACCGTTCCCACCGGCGCCAATGACACACTTCGCTGGGACCACGACCTCACACCAATCGACGTCCCTGGCCTGTCCGGAGACATCGCAACCTATGATGTCTGGAACGAGTATCTGTGCACCGACACTGCCGGATTCGCCGCCTGTGCGCTTGGCGGTGGTGTTTCAGTCAACTACATGGTCTTTGTCCACCCTCCAGACCATGACTTTAATGATAAATGGCCTCAAGGATGGAAGTGGGAAGACGTTGCGCCGGCGGCGGAGAGATTGTATCAACGAAACCCTGGGAGCACCTTGCCCTCTGCTGATGGCAAGTACTATGACCAGGGGCTGTACACTATCTTCTCGAACTTCTTGGACAATCTTGGCTGGAAGTCTGTCGACATGATCGACCAGCCCAATGAGAAGCACCAGGTCTACAGTCACCCGTCATGGAACATCAAGGACCAAATGCGTGCTGGCCCTGTACGCACCTACCTCCCTGATATCCAGCACAACGACCGCTTTACACTGAGTCTTGGTACCAAAGTCGTTCGTCTGGTTCGTTCAGGAAGTCAGGTCACCGGAGTCGAAGTCGAAACTGCCTCTGGTCAAACCGAAGTCATCGCGCTGACTTGCAATGGCCGTGTCGTTCTTGCTTCGGGTGCTCTCTCCACACCGCGTGTGCTTTTCAACTCCGGCATCGGCCCCAAGGCGCAGATCGAAACGGCCCAGAAGACCGGTGTCGCGGTTCCTACTCAGGAAGAGTGGATCGATCTGCCTGTCGGTGTTGGCCTCAAAGACCATTCCATCTTCTCCCTCGTCGTCAAGACTAATGGGACATTCGGTTCGCTGGATTCCGCAAGCGTCCTGAATGGGAATGACACTACCAACATTTCTCAATACAAACAGCACAACGGCGTTCTGACCCAAGGCAAACATCGCTTGATATTCTTCACTTCGAACGAGGTTGATGGCGAGACCCGATACTATCAGGGTTCCTGCGCCCCTGACGACGACAGCACAATCAGCCTCAGCGCCTACATGACCCACGGCCTGACCTCATCCGGCGTCTTGGGACTGGATAAAAAAGGAAACACCGTCATAGAGAAGTCTCCATACCTCCAAACCGCCGGAGACCGCAAAGCCGCCAGAGTTTTCCTCCAACAACTGGTTGACGATATCACAGCCCCTTCAACTGGATTCCAATTGGATTCGTACACCAACGTCTCTGCAGTAATCGATGCACAGAGCCCTGGTGGACACTATACTGGTACGGCCCGGATGGGCACGGATGATGGCCGCGATGGTGGATCGGCAGTTGTTGATACTAATGCCAAGGTATACGGTATGGACAATCTGGTAGGTTCATCCAACGTCCTTATTCTGTGTTTTGATACTAATGTGAATTACAGTACATTGTCGACGCTAGTATTCACCCGGACGTTCCCACGGGTAATACCATGGCCATTACCATGGTTGTCGCTGAAGCAGCGGCTTCCAGAATACTTGCTCAAGACTAAGGGTTTTTCTTGATTAAACCAACAGTGATGTATTGGTTTCTGAGTCGGCCCTGTTACTCTCATGCTGCTATGTCCTAGGTTTCTGTTTCTGGATTGTCTTTTTTTTAAAAAATTTTATTTTCTCTTCTAGTAGTATATATAAATTTATGACGCTTTGTTAACTTCTATATATGGCCGAGACCGTTGGCATAGTGTCAGTGGCGTGCAGTTATTGGACGTGGAGAGCGAGCTCATTTGTAGAAAATTTAATTTACAAACTATCTTTTATATATATTGATGGAATATAATAAGGCCTGTTGATAGAAAGTAAGTACTATTGGAAATACATGAGGAATATAGGAATATGACTGGACCATGTGATCAAAGCAACCCAAACAGGTGCCAATGTGAATATATATAACACCCTGTTCACCACCCAATAGGATTCAACCGAATCCACTTCGTCTCCAACAACAAATCCTCCTTAAGTGTACGACCAAACAGCAAATGTGCGACCGTCAGAAGACTGCCAGGGCGTAGTCTGGGCTTTGAAAGGATGGCATGCATCCACACCCTGGTAGGTGGTAATGTTCTTAGCGTTAACAAACACTTCCCAGATATCATTTCCACCACGGAAAGGGCAGGCTAGGAAGCCATTCGCGCCATTTGCCTTGTACTTCCACTCACTCTCGACCTGCGAAAAGCCATTCGTAGAGGAGCCGGGTTCCATATTGCTGTCGCTGCCCCCAGTGTATCTGACGTGACCATTGGGGTCAACGTAGATGTGTTCACCACCGGGTATCTTGGCGGACTGAACATTGACTCAATTAGCTGCGAATATAATTGTGATGCAGGTTGGGAAAGATATACCATGTAGTTTGCAGATGCTAAGACAGGGGTATCTCGGACAGTGGTGTTGCCACCAGGGCAATCGCTAGCCTTACCCACTTGGGGGGGACACCAGACGGTGGTCTCACCGTTTAGGTACAGATAGGTGGAAGAAGCGTCCAATTTCAGGTTGTGAACAGGAGATTCAGGGTTGATGGCGACAACACTGAAACCTTTACTAGTCTTCTTCTCGGCTGGGAGGGCAATGGCGCCAATCAGGAAGGGCAGGATGGAAAGGAAAATAGAGAACTTCATTTCTAATGAGTTTGGTTTTCAGTTGAACAGATAGATTTTGTTTTTGAATGAGTGTTTTACGCTGATGAGAGTTGAAAAGATGAAGGTCTTTATACTATTCACACTGGCTGCTCCGCTACCTGTGCAAACATGAATTTCTTGTTGTCTGTTCTAAAATTGATTTTTTGTGGAGAACTTCATTTAGCTCGGGGCTGTGAGGTCTAAGAAGGATGCCATACCAGCTTCCCATTTGTAGGTTCCAGGTATCCTTAGTTTATCATCATTAACTAGAGACAGAATACGAGCTTTCCTTTTGGATTCACCACTCGTTTAGTCTTATATCCACGACCGCGCACAGTTATTAATCGATAGGCGGCTGTGTATGGCCTCAGAACGTGTTGGGGCGATCGAAGAACAGGCGCATTAGGCGTAATGGGCATTGAGTTTCTGCTGGTAGGAATATCTTTTTCTGTATGATACGGAGAAATCCCGAGGGATATACTATAACGTGTCCCACATGCGAATGTCACACACGGGCGACTGTCACACGAAATTGCTCTGCCATGACTTTAACCCAATATTTCCACCAATGCACATAAAATTCCATTAAAACTACCCAGAGTCGCCTTCCTCAGACATCTCTACTACTATCTGACTGTCACGGGCTCGGAATAGTAGATAATAACGAACTGAATTCCTAACTAGACTATTGTAGCCATCGACGAGAATATCGAATCTGGAGAAGAAAAGAAAATAAGAGGCAAGTCTATTTACGTGACGAAGTCCCATATGTTTATGTGTGGTCTCGCTAAACAACTTGTTTGTTTTGTTGCTTCCATGGTATTGTTTGTCATGTTGATGATGTTTGCTGATGGAGGCGTTGGGCTGAGCCGTTACGCCTCATGGCAATGGATGTATAGGAGCTAAATCGGGTCCGAGAGAATTTACGAAGAACACGAACTTTCAACTGCTATGACAACTGGCTGGGAATTGGCCATTATTGGCATGGGGAAAGTGAAAGACAGAGAAGAGTACTAGAAGATGTGCAGTGGAACCAGGTTATTGAAGATGCCTGCTTGTCGGAGATTTCAATGCTCATAACCCACTATGGAACCCTTTTGTGAGAGCCCGAGTGAATGCTGGGCCATTGGAGGACATGATAGACAAAGAGGCCTCTACATCAACAATGAGCTAGGAGTTTCCACTAGATCGAAAAGAACTCCAGGGATCTCAATTATCGACTTAGCTCTAACCACGGTTAGTATGGGGCGGCTCGACCCGGCAGCTGCTATTTTCAACTGAAGTCAGGACATGCAGCTATAGGAGCATACCTACATCGGATCCAGGTCCAGGAGGGTGCAACCTGTGAAGGATGTGGTTTACCAAGGGAGACAACACACCATCTTCTCTTTGAATGTCAGAAATGGCGACACCAACGAAACAGGCTCTACAAAGACCTAGACAGATGGAGTCATGAGACCAACTACCACAGAAGAATATCCACAAGGACGACTCCTAGGAGGACCCAAAGCTACAAGGGCATTGCTACAATTCCTAGCCAACACCAGTGTAGCTCTACCCCGGGCGCACCTGCAGCGGATGACGGAAAAGGCCCGAAGAGAAGACGAATGGGGACTGGAAGCAGTGGAGGGGGAAATTAGAACAGTCGAGGGGTAGCAGGGAGGGTAGCCTAAGCTGAGAGTCAGCCTAGGCCACACCCATCTTGCTCCGAAACACAAGGAGAGCACCGTGCTCGAAAGCCCTGCGCATACAGGCGGCTTGGGCGAGGAAAGGGATTAGAAAGATTATAGAGGGGGATTTGCTGCCGCAGGAACCTATGGGGACAAGAGACTGTAGAATAGCTGCTGGCCCCAAGTCCACGAATCATGGTCTGTCATAGCTCTAGGGCTCGGTATGGACAATAAACTTGATTAAATTATAACGTAGGTGCATAGCGAACGACGCACCTAACCACCACCATGATATTGTTCACGACCGTAATTTGCCACAACACAGATAATCAATTAAGTCTAGTCAGAATTATACCCATCAAATACCTCTTCATCTTCTTGACAGGTGCGTACATTATGTCCAGGCTTGCCACAGCTACCACAACATCGTTTTCTTGGTTTCACACGCTTCAAACTATCATCCTTCATATGGATTTCCTCAGCTAGCTGGCGATCTATATCTCCTTGATCCAGTATACCTTTGCCAGACTGCAGACTAAGTATTCCTCCATGCTGTATACGTGTTGTCTTTCCCTTCCGGCGCTTGCTTAATGTACGATTCGCATCTTCAAGTGTTGTAACTCGGTCCTTGAGGAGAGCCACTGAGTGCATAACTGACTTTGCACTCTTCGCAATATGGTCTATAGCACCATAAATTGAGGTTGGTGAACTATTTTGGTGATTGGCGATTCTGGATTTAATATACTCAGATTGCGAAGTGGCCTCGACTGGGTTTTGTGGTGTCCTAGAAATCCAAGGGTCCATAATCACAGGAGGTGGTCCAGTAGGTGTTGGTGTGTGTAACTTGACATCTAGCTTAGAAATCACAGTATCTGGGTTATATGGGACTAAACCTGACCCTCGAAAACCTGACTGTATATTTCTTTCACTAAACGAGGCAAAGAATGCGGCCTTAAATGCCTCAAAGAACTCAACCTTAGTGATATGGGTGATATGCCCCGGGATCAAGTTCTCAGTCTCCTTGCTATACGCACGCTTTAGTGGACTGAAACATCCAATATCAAGTGGTTGGAGCAAATGAGATGAATGAGCAGGCATGCAAAGAGTCACAATATTATTCTCTTTGCAGTAGTGCTCGAAACCAGCTGAGTGGTGGCTCTCATGCCCATCTAGCACCAATAGACATTTTGCACCTGTTGTACGATGTCGACTATATTTGTCAAAGTGTTTTATCCATTCCAGGCCAAGCTCATTTGTAGTCCATCCATTGTCACTGACTCCAATGACCCAATTAGATGGCAGGGAGCTATCACGATACCAAGTTGAGAGGTGGCATTGCCCAGCAACAATGATAAAAGGTGGTATCATTGAGCCTTGAGAATTCACCCCCTGGATGACTGTTGCCCATTCTCGATTGCCAGGCTGCATCATCTTTGCTTTTCCACGACCATCTGAGGTTGTTATAACCATTGCAGACGAGATTACTCCCATCATAAAACCAGTCTCATCAAAGTTCCAGATATCTGACTCCAGTATGCCGTACTTGGCCACCATATTCTGAATGAGCCGAAACCAATCCATAATTAAAGCTGGATCTTCGCACTTGGCTCTCTGGTAGTCGTACTTACGCGTAAAGCGCATCTGGAGCTGTGGTTGTTGCTTAACAAAGTTGGAAGCCCAGTGTGGTCCAACGCATGGCGCATCGCGTTCAGTAAGCAGTTGGTTGGCCATATCTTCAACATCGTGAAGCCGGGGAGGGAATGCTCGTGAATCCAGTCTATTATCTCTTGAATAAGCACTGGTTCTTCTAAGTCAGTTAATTCTCGCGAATTGGCTGGCAAAGCGCGTCGAGATTGTCGGCCTTTGAGTTGTGCACATAAGGTTGCTTCACTGACATTGTAGATCTTGGCAATAGATTGTACACTTTGTTGATTACCATTTTTGAATTTCTGGAGGGCAAGGAATAATCGGTTTTCTCTGCTAGTAGATTCCATGGTTGTACGTGGAGAAATTATACAAAGAACTTCGGTGTGGTGACTTAAGTTGGATTGTGCGGTGTTCGCTATGCTGCGTTGTTCGCTATGCACCTACGTTAATGATATGGCTGTGCCTTAAATGGTCATTATTTACCCTTTTGCAAATTTATAATTACCTAAAGATACGACTTGCTATGGTAAAGAATGAAAATTTATGTAGTGTCTCTTACCTTCCTTAGATTGCTTTGGAAACAGGGCAGATGGGTTGACTGACATTTCGGGAATACTCTCAACATAGCTACTAAGAGAAATTACTTGTGTCCGAGGAATTAAAGAACACGTACTATTGTGAGCCAAATCAAAGGACCATGGTTATGATAGACTGCTAAGCATGGAAACAAAATCAGAGAAAGCCAAAACAAGGATTCTATCCAGTCAGGTCAAAGGTAGATAGATAATGACGATAAATATATAGTGAATTAAAGCTGGCTACGCTAGGAAACTCGTGAATATTAAAGCTCTGGTCTGTACTAGTCCTTATCTAGTATGCCTAGTAAGTGTCTACCTCCATGTCCAGTAAGGAGTACCATGACGGGAAAGCATTGACAAGGAGACTACAAGCGAACTGCACATCAGATATAGAGAACCATAAATGCCTCGCTAGTCAATGATTGACACCCAACAAACTTTCGATGTATTACGACTACAGCATCGCGAAGCAGAACAAGCGGTATAAAGCTCAAAAGCTAACGCTGCATAGTATCAAGCTTAGGGTTAAGCTTCAATAGCTCGTGTGGGGAATTTCTCGCGAAGTCCAGTCTTACATAATGCAGTGGGAAATACATTTAGAGCCGCATATATAGCCGATAGCGTGTGATGATCATTGAAATTATTATTCAAGTATTGGTGGTGGCAGTATAGTACACCGTAGGTGTAGTTATGTATGTGGTATCGAGCTATGTATGTGCAAGCAAATAAAAATCCAATCCCAAACTCCAATCATATCGGCATGAAAGAGCGACGTGACTCTGAATCAAAATGAAAAGTCATCGTAATTCATGAGTCGTAGACATACATTCCTTCTCCGGAAATATGCGGTTATAACCTCGCCATGAGATCCGCGACGGTCATTTCCATCCCGCGCTTCCTCGTCCTGTATTTGTCCAAATTAAGATCGCCCATGGCCCTCTTCAGTTTCCTCAAATTATCCAGAGCAGTCCCATCCAGGATACTCCCATCACTGTCGTCCGTCTCCGGCATGGTGAGGGATAGATTCGCCAATGGGTTGTCCTTTCCGTGAAATAGACTGTGAACAGTGTTGCCGAGTAACCCAGCTATCGGCACATCTGCTTCCAAGGTGAGACCCTTCATGACCTTCGTGTAGTAAGGGACCTGGACGCCATTCCATTCGACATTGGTGCCTATGGTTTTGAGCCGGAGGTTGCCTTTTTTAAGGTACTCGGCTTGGTCTTTGACGATTTCGGACAGGTTTTGGATGAGTATACTGAGGTCGAGGATGCCTTCAACGGGGGTCGCATGGTTGCCGGGGCGGAGGAAAAGATTGGGAAGGGTGGCATTTCCGAGGAGGATATCGCCGCTGAAGAGGTTCATTGTTGTGTTTCCCTGTTTTTGTTAGCTTGCTTCCACACAAAGAATTGCCTAGGGAGGCGTACGATTTCCAATGTCACGACAGAGGGATTGGGAAGAGTGGCGTTGGCGAGGAGATTGGTGCCATCTTCGCGGGCCTCGATGAGTGTACTATCATCAATAGAGAACCCGGTGAAGTTATTCAACGCTGATTCCAGTTAGCTTGGCCGCATACTTTCTCAGCCCGGTGAAACATACTCGTCTGCGGAATATCCTTATTCATCGTGACCTTACTAACCAACTGTCCCAAGTACGACGTGGTCTTCCCGCGCACCGACAGCGGCGGGTGATGCAAATGCACGAACTTCCACACATAGTTGTACCACTGCTCCGGGTCAATTGGCGTATGTTGGTTCGTGACGCCCAACGTGGTGTTTCCCTTGACCAAATACGGGCCCAGATACACCATGCCCCATGTGTTGTTCATGGGTTGTTCGCGGTTAAACAGCTCGAGCGCCATGGGGTCGATGCGTACGGGGAGCGAGACGGGGAGATCCAACGCAGAGGTCATGCTAAGGGAGATGCTGTCGGGACGGGGTTCGAGGATCGAAGATTCGACGAGGAGGAGGGTCGAGCGGTTGAGGACATTCTGGGAGATGGCGGGGATACATATTAGGAAGCTGTTTTTGTGTTAGCAATTGCGCTGTAGAATAGGGCACAGAGCAACATACAAAATAGGAAGGAAAATGGCGAGGAAGATGATCGACCAAAAGACATAACAGCACCAGAACCGAAACCAGTGTCGCCGCAGATTCTGGGTGGGTGTGCGCTTGATGTTCTCAAGTGTGATGGTGTCCGCAGTCTCGACATGCTGGAGATCGTTGCCATCGAGAGACTCTTTGGGCGCAAAAGGACCGCGATGGACACCGAGAGCATACTTGGCGGCAGCGGAGCTGAGATAGGCGGGCTTCTCGGCCAAGTCCTTTGCTTTGCCCATTGTCCGTAGAGTGCTTAGTATATGCAAAAGTAAGAATAGGAGGGAATCCGGGGATTATATTTTGAAAGCACGTGCAGATCAAGGGATTATATAAGAGGAACGGTGGTCCGTAATATTCGGCGCATTATTGTTGGGAACAAGGGCAATTAGAAATGGGTTTTAGTGTATTTCTTAGCGTAGTATTCGTGTACCCCGTACCTCTGATGAAAAGGAGATTCAAAATTTAGTTTACAGCAGTGGAGTGTAAAAGTGGCCCGCGGGATGAGGATCAACAGCGCTATTGGAAACCGCGGTCCAAGCTAAGTACCGACCCAATCACAAGCCCTAAGCGGGGGTATTGCCGAATTCAATGCTCGCCGATGCGGGGATGCCAAAAGTCATGTTTCTCCAGCTGGCTTTATTTTACTTATCTCCTTATCTGCCAGGCCATTTGTCTGTCTCAGACAACTAGAGAAAGAACAGTTTCGCCATGTCCGAGGAAATCGAGAAGTTACCAGATGAAAAGTCCATTCCGGCCTCCTTGTCGTCGCCAGACACTCATAGCGATAATGCTAGCGGAAAAGAAAATGGGAGTCAGTACCCCCTCGATGCGCTCGACAAGCTAGAAATTCTCCCTCATATGCTTCAAGAGGGTATTCTCTTCGCCGGGGCCGGGTCCGCACTGCTCCTCCAAGCCGCCTTACCAGACATCCGCAGCGACAACGAACAACACCATAATAACTTGGCGAACGAGCTCGGTGACGCTTTACAAGCGATTCTGGGCTACATCGCGTGTCTGGTCTTCGGGACACGAGACGAAAAGCGCATCTTACTCGATCTCCTCGCACGACGGCAACCTCCGCTCAAAGGAAGCGAATATTACACGCGCAGACCAGACGTGCACCTCTGGATCGCAGCAACGCTCTACGCAACCGCGACAGACTTCTACCAGCGCATCTACGGACGCGTTAATTTGAAGACCGCCGAAAATGCCTACAAAGAGTACTCGCTGCTCTGCCATGTGCTCGGCATTCCCCGCGGCACGTGGCCGGAGAACCGCGAGGCATTTTGGAAGTATTGGGACGAGCGCATCGAAACGCTGCAGGTGACAGACCATGCGAATGAGTTCGCCAAGGATCTCATGTACCGCACCGAGTTTCCTCGGTGGGTGCAGACGCTCAAGCCATTTTTGCGGGTCATTACAATCGAGATGCTTCCGCCGAGGATCCGCAAGCAGTATGGGTTAGAGTCAACTATGGGGTCGAGAGGATTGTATCGGTTTACGATGGGTTTTTCGGTAGCTGTTTATCCCGCATTGCTTAAGTCAGTGAGGGGGTATCCGGTGCAGTATTATTTGAAAGAATTGAGGAAACATCTGAATGTCATTTGAATGCAATTTTATTGGTTATCATGTATGTAATTTTAATGCCCTAGTACATAGCCCATGTGAATATGTTTAATTCTCAAACAGACGCTAGTATTCCTCCGAGTAACTTCGACACATCGGCAACCAACTATCAGTCCTCGATTAGCATGTGCCAGACCCATGTGCCAATCAATGACTAGACTCACCGGTGCTGCATCCCCCACTAACTCTGAAGTATCGTTGACAAATGACGTCGTGATCAATGTATGCGCATTGTTAATAACATCCTGCAGTTTGTCGATGTTGTCTTTGGACAGAAGGTTCCTGAGGTTTTGCGGCGTATCACCCCCCAGCAATACGGCACCGCCTTTGACAATCGTCTGTAGATCGTCAATGGTGTCCTGGCTAAGCAGATCTTTGACGTTGTCGACGATATCGGGCAGGTCAGATAGGAGCCCACCGGATGGCGCGGGAGCAGGAGAGGCCAGACCGAGGGTGATGAGGGGGAGGATGAAAATCTTGAAGTGCATTTCGTATGGTATTCAGTCTCATGTGCTTGAGAATTGGAATTGGATAGATGCTGGTACTCTATATACATCGTGTTTTTATATTGCTGGCCCCGCGTTCCAGACTTGGCTGCGGGTCTTGTTTTGCTTGGCTGTATTGATATTAAGTATCTTTACTACAGCATACTTTTAATTAATTTTGAAATCAAGTTGTCGATATCGATGCATCTACTACAGAGTACAACCACATGTTCATCCAAGTACATCCTCTACCACTGCAAGATACACTATCGTACACTCAAGTAGATCGCTGATCAGATCTTCACCCCAAGTTTTACCGTCTCGTATCCCCCATATTAATTTATTTACCCCATACCCGTTTCTCGCGCCGAAGACTCCGGGGTGCCAGCACAGTCCATCCGAGAGCAACATGTGATACTCGCCACGCTACCGGGTCCAGCGCCAATCGCCGTCTTCGGATTATCCGGGGTTCGCGCGGTTCCCATGGAGCATGATTGCCGGATCGGGTATGCACGATGCGCATCTGTATCTTGGATCACCGAGAGCCGAAGCATGTGAAATAGGCTCGGGCGTTAGCTTAGATTCGCTTAGATGATGTCTGATTCGGTTATGCATGCTTGTCTCAGGTTGATGTAGGATTTTCTATATACGATGACGAAACTGCTGTTCGGACCAGTTGTTCTCGTGTGTTGGTACTATGTATTGCTGTTGTTTATTTACAGAAAGTAATTAAACGAAGCCAAGGACACTGCCAATTCGGAACAGGAACAGTTCTACCCATGGTTACCCCGCACCAAAGCTTAGCGAAGTTACTCCATAGTACATACTCAGCCAATCACAACCCAATCCTCTTCCCCAGATGTAATACTCTGCCTTTCATCGGAGAACATGCTCGGAAAGCATCATCCCCACTGCAACAAAGACATCACTCCCATGATTGCAATTGCACCAGGAATCGCCACCTCAACTCCCCCCGGCTGTATCCGTCCACCGCTATTCGTGTCACTCGCACTTGTACCCTGTCCGGTCGTAGTCTCGGCTGCTGTCGCTGTCGCCGACACCTGATTACTCACAGAACCGGACCTAGAACCAGAATCAGAGTTTGAAGCAGTCGGACTCGCCGTCAGCGCTCCCTCGGATATCTGCGACTTGACCACTGCCATGTAATCCTTGATGTCGGTGGGGAGGTTCTGATACCATGTCGGGGTCGAGCCGGCTTGAATTTCGGATCCCAGTGCGCGGCGCTTTGAAGGGTCGAAGAGATCCATAATTACACTGACTGGGACTGCGGAGATGACCTGGCCGATGAGGTAACGTGGGGGAGGGGATATGTTGGCGAGGTTGCCGGAATTGGTTGGGAGGGCGAGGGAGGGGATGGTCATGGATTGTCTGTTTCATCAGTATCTTGTGATTGATCATGATAGTATATGGATGGCGTACAGTGCATTTCTGACAGAGGACCACCCAGAGTCCGTTGATGGAGGTGTTGTTGGTGTTGGTGTAGTGGCTGCTAGGGCACCCGCCGTGAATAGGAGCCAGGTAAGGTTCATTTTCCTTGGACCCTGAGAGATGCTGTATTCTGGATCGGGGTCGAGGGGGGGGGTAGGGACGATTCCTTTATATTCTAAACTCTGTGGGGACGATTATGCAGGGCTGCATATCCGGATTTGCATACGGTAGAATGTGCGCGAGTATGATCTCAACCGTCCATCACCGCAAGTCTTCATAAATGATTGTGTATGCTTGAGCTTCTACCACTATGATATTGGGCCATTGTAGATGTAAACTTGTGACTACGTCAGCTATACTTGACCTGCTGGCTTTAACATAACTGTTAGTCGACAAGCATAACTAAAGATTCCATTGTTGATAATTCGGCGACAGTCTTGCTTCCTTGAAATGTTGTCTATTGAGTGGCCGCTAGTCGTTTCAATTGAGCCCTAACGTTACACAGATTCAACATTACCATTGGAGCTCAGATTAGTCATAGCAACAATATTATTAATCTTCTTGTTCACTTTGTACTTTCTAGACTATTTTGTAAGAGTCATTGTGTTGACTAAACAATCCTCGATAGGCTCAGGAATAGCCAAGCTTCGGACAAAGGATGCTTGATTAAATGTCTGACAATACCGCCGGAACTGGCATACTAACACTAGACGTTATTCGACAAGTCATATTAGAATTATAAAAGAACTAGCCTAGTAACAGACAAAAGTACATATGCGCTTGGTTCTATTCTGTAGGTCCTCCAGTATTGAATGACAAAACGATCTACCATCTTGGTGATTTTCTACAGATATACTCTACAAGAAATCCCCATGAGATAACATGCATTATTAGATTCATCGGATTGGCAGAATGCTCTTTGTTCGTGTCCGAGCTGGGATTTGAAAACACACCCAGTGAGCTGCGCCACAATCATACACGGCCCACTTAGTATATTAATCAGGGAGACTCCGAATAATCCGGCCATACCTGTCTATTTTACAATTAATTCATGAAATGTCTGTCTCTCGAGAACCTTTCCAACTCTCCGGCCGCTATGCTGACCGCAACCGCTGGGAAGTCCTCGCCGGGCCTGGCGACTCCCGCGTCACCGGCCTACAAATCATCCATGATGAGAACCTTACCAACGCCTGGACCGATAAAACTGCCTTGATCACTGGTGTCTCGTCGGGCATCGGCGTCGAGACCGTTCGCGCCCTGGCTGCGACCGGCGCTACTGTCTTCGGCACCGCCCGCAACCTCGATAAAGCGAGGAAGGCGCTAGGCGCTGAACTGCTGGAGTCAGGCCGAGTCAAGCTCGTATTCATGGACCAGACGGATCTGGCCAGTGTGAGAGCTTGTGCGGAGGAAGTTCGCATATCAAGCGGTGGCCGACTGAACATTATCGTCAACAATGCGGCGGTGATGAATACGCCCGAGGAACGGACCAAGGCTGGGTTTGAGTTGCAGTTTGGAACCAACCATCTCTCGCATTTCTTGCTTTTTTGTCTTCTAAAGGATTTTCTTTTGGCGAGTTCCACGCCTCAGTTTCATTCACGCGTGGTCTCTGTTTCGTCTGCTGCGCATCGCTACGCACCTGTTCAGCTGAATAATGTCAGCTTTGAAGGAAGCTATAATGGCTGGCTTGCATATGGATCCAGTAAGACAGCAAACATCTACATGACCAACCAAATTGAGCGCCTATACGGCGCCCAGGGACTCCATGGATACAGTCTCCATCCGGGCGCGTTTCTCAGCCCTAACCTGCAGAAGCATTCGCAGGAGGAGCTGAAGACATTCTTGACGGATCCTAGATTGCAAATCTATACGACCAGTCTGGGGCAGGCGTGTGCAACTAGTATATATGGAGCGGTTTCTAATGAGTTAGAAGGAAAAGGGGGTTTGTATCTTGAGGGTGCATCAGTTGCTGTGCATCCGTGTCCTCCTGATGGTGATGCGGTGGAGTATGGGTATGGGAGCTGGGCGTTTGATCAGAGAAAAGAGGAGGCGCTGTGGGAGTTGAGTAAGGATATGGTAGGAATTGAGTAAGTGGTTTCGCGAATGTGCACGATAGACTCTTCAGAGCTATGCTGCGTAAGATATGGCATCTAAATTGGGCAAGATAGAGACATGATAGATGAGACAAGCATGAGCGAACAATTGAATGGCCATACAAGTAAAATTCTCGCTGCACTATCAGACTTGGACCTGACCAGCTCAGACTTAACATCCACGTCTCGCGAACTTGTTCTTCCTCGATACCCAAATATCGACCGGTCTTGAAGCTATTCATACCACTTGTCAATTTCCAAGCCCTGGCTTTATAGATTTCTCCAGCTTACCTCCAATGCAGGTTTCTCATAGCCACATTCCGACAAGAGTCAATGAACTTGAGCACTTCTCGGTCGATGTGTTCTCGCCAGACAGGCATGTTTGCCAGTGCGGTATACCAACGTTTGTAGCATCCTTCTATCATAGCCCCAATTTGATCCACGGCTTCTTGTATAGTGAGGCCTTGGTATACTAACTGTCTGGTCAAGTTATTTTCGACTCCTAGCGCCTAGATGATGTTAGCTTTCTGGTACAAAGTGTAGGATACTCTCCCTACAATTACTGACCAGATCTTCCTTTAGTGATAATATGTTATTGACTTTGTATATAGTGAGGTCTTGGCCTGTTTCTCGTTTAACCATACATACAGAATCACAAGATCAACCGAGACAGACATGCATTCTTGAAGAGAAGGATGGTCAACAATCCCCTGCGAGAGATTAATTCCAAGAGCATATCTGCAGTATCAAAAGTCAGGTTCCTTTCACAATAGAAAAGAAAAAGAGTAAATTAATAGGAATGAGACATACTCGGTCAGTGCGATAACAGGAAATGCGCCAACGGTTTTCCTTCGAATCTCCATGGATTTTTGCAGATCCCAGGCCATGCCACGCTGCTCATGCATAACCTGAATCTGGATGAGCAGCCCATTAAAGTACTCTCGATGCACATTCTTCAATTGTTGTTGAAGGTCTATTCTGATGTTGGCAGTTTTTTTAAGACACAGTAAGCAGTCTGTGAAGGTAGACCTGGAGACGCTTTCTGTGTACTCTTAATTAGCTGAACCCGCTTTTGAAGATGGGTGTATAGGTTATTATTATTTACCTTTTTCAAGCGATCCCAGATAGCTTGAAAGATATATTGCATGTGGTCTTCGTCTACTTGAACCGGAGGCTCAGTGCTTTCCATAACCGCCAGCACCTTGTTGATTTCTTCCTATCCGGCAACAGGATCACTACGGGGATGGCCCTCATCAAACTCTGTGACGGCCTGGTCACGTTGGATGGCTATCACGTGAGATGCAGTTGTTTGCTTTGTTGATAAATACGGCGTCACCTCCTTTTTTCCTCATGTTTCTCACGGTCATCAAGTAGGAATACCTATTGACCAATTGTCAGGAATTCGAATTACTTTACAAGTCGAAAATATAGGAGCACAGCAAACCCAGCTATTCCAATCAATTATCGTCCGCAGTGCTTCATAACAATGAAGCGCCCAGGCCGATGCCACGAAGCATAATTCGGCCTTAAAGTTTCCTGCAGCCCACTTTTCATCGGCTTGCATGATCCTATCAGAGTCAATTGAACTTTTAACTTCAGTCATGAGGTAGTAGTTCGGATTACTTTGTTATCCATAAATTTGCCTTGACCTTCACCTCATAGTAGTTTGGGTTCACAACTGGCTTGACAGACATGATGGAGGAAAATAGATCTGGTAAATGGACGGCATGTTTCTCCACGCTGTTCTGTATGTGTCCGTCCTTGGTACCCAGAACAGTGTCTGAAGACTTGCAGGAACCCAAAGATGCAGTGGCGCTGTTTGAAGGCACCATACTGGGACGTTGTGTAGTTTTATAAAGTCCTATACTGAAACCTTTATTCTGTATTGTGGTGGGAATGGCTATAAAGAGACAACTTGCTAGTGATATCCCTTTATGGATTGGCTATTTCTCCATAATGCAACCGACTCTTCCTGTTTCAAACCTTTCAAGATTTCACAAGATCTTCTTGATGTCACCGAAGCCGACGACTATTTACAATGGAACTAGCCGAACTTGACGAACCTTCGTGTTACATGCCAAGGGCCATTGCAATTAATGTCAGTCGTTGATTGACAACGACAGGTACAAAGGGATCATATCCCCCTAGAGTTGATCAAACTCTGCAAGGAAGATCCTGCATGTACATGGACGGCTTAATGATACATTGAAAACTTAATCTTCTTAGCTTGCCTTTGCATTTCCTCGGCCGCGATTAGGTCTGTGGTTTCTTCTGAATGTTATACCATAACCCATCTATCAATCATTTATTTGTGAATGGCTTGTATTCTCTTGCTTCATTCAAACCCAAATGTATTCGAAGCCTTGACACATTCCTAGATGCCTCGTAAATTGAAATAAAGTCCGATGCAACGGCATAACCCATGTTGGAGTGTACGAAGTGCGATACGACGTTCAATCACAAACCGTAACCTTAGAATGACGCCTTGCGTCGCCAATTTGAGTGACAGTATCTCATACCAAATTGGCTCCGTATTATGTCTTCCTCACTTCTCTATCCCTTTGCTTAACATTGCAATTGCTTTAACTTTTTTCTCAAGCATTTTGACGAAGGTGCGTTCGGCATATCTCGAATTTCTTCCAGGCCTGGTCCGGCACAGCATAACATCAAGTGTTGAAGGATGCAATCGATATAACATAACATCAATAATAATAATGTATTTGTCTAAACCATGATGTGCAGAACTACAGGGCTCAAGGTACGAAGACAGCAATCAAAGTGGCTCTCGAAACAGTTGGTGGGTTGAATATGTGCACTCTTCTTATATACATTCAGCAAAAAGCTATCCTACAGCCGACTTCCCATATTGACATGAACGGCCTTAACCTGCGAGTAAGCATCCAATCCCGCCTCTCCCAACTCCCTCCCAATACCGCTCTGCTTAACACCCCCAAACGGTATCCTCGGATCACAATCCTGGCTACTATTCACCCACACCATACCTGCTTCAATAGCACCCGCCACCCTGTGTGCTCTCTCCAAATCCTTTGTGAACACAGACGCTCCAAGGCCATAGCTTGTATCATTTGCGCGCCGCACGGCATCCTCCTCATCTGAGAATGGCACGACAACAACCACCGGGCCAAAGACTTCTTCGCGGTAGATAGCCATGTCGTCGGTTGTGTCTGTGATAACTGTGGGCTGCACGAAGTAGCCGTTTGCATATTTTGGGTTGTCGGGTTTGTGCGCGCTTCCGCCGGAGAGAATTGTTGCGCCGTCGGAGCGTGCGCGTTCAATGTACGATAGAATACGCTCATACTGCGCACGAGTGACCTGCGGTCCCTGGTATGTCGATTCATCCCACTGGTCGCCAATTTTGGAGGTCGATTGGACTTGCTCTTGGAATTGGGTTAGGAACGTATCGAAGATATCACGGTGGACAAACAGTCGCGATGTCGCTGTGCATATCTGGCCCTGGTTCGACATGATGCCCATATGCGACCATTTAACAGCCTGGTCTAGGTCTGCATCGGGGAAGATGAGTAATGGTGACTTTCCACCAGTCTCAAGGGTGATATTCTTCAGTGTCCCGGAGGCCATTTTCATTATTTGCTGCGCGGTCCCGGTAGATCCTGTGAATGCCACTTTATCGACGTCGGGATGCTGCACTAATGCTGAACCGGCTTCCTTTCCGTAGCCGTTGATGATGTTGACCACGCCTGGCGGGAAGCCTGCCTCTTTGATAAGGGTACCCAGCAGCAAGATGCTCAGCGGTGTCTGCTCAGCAGCTTTGATCACAACTGTATTTCCGCAAGCCAAAGCAGGACCAAGCTTCCACGTCGCCATAGACAGGGGATAGTTCCAGGGGATAATCTGCCCGACGACACCAATTGGCTGGCGCAGGGTATATGCGAGCTTCTCCGGGGTTGTATTGATAGTCTGCCCGAAGGTCTTATCCGCCCAGCCGCTGTAGTAGCGGATCGTCATGATGGCCTCTGGGAGATCATCGCTCAATGCGACATGGTATGGCTTTCCTATTTGTCATTATGAGTATCATCCAGATATGTTATGTGTATAGTAAACACACCATTATCCCACGCATCAATCGACGCAAAAAGCTCTTGCTTCTCCTCAATCAAATCCGCCAGCTTTGCCATTAACCGGCCGCGATCTGTCGCGGGGAGTTGCTTCCATGATGGGTGGATTAGGGCTGCACGCGCTGCTTTGACGGCTTGGCCTACGTCGTCAACGCCGGCGGCGTAAACAGTCGCAATTGGTGCGTCGGTTCTGGGTTTTTTGTTAGTAACTCTTCTTTTTGCATGCAAATTATGAACGGCGGGACACACGCTGGATCAAGCGAGACAATTGTTCCTCCAGAAGCTGGAACAAATTCATTGTTGATGAACAGGCCCGTGGGTTGTTGGTAGCTGTGGCCGTTTGGAGTTGTGATTTCGACGGACGACATTTTGAATTCTGTACTGTGCATGTGACAATTGAATCAATCCTGGCAATTCTCAATCATTGATATATTATGCGGGGTTGTTATCGTACTTTGTATATGCAAGTCTACTCGGAATTACATGCCTAGTATAGAGGTGGTTGATAATCTCCGTCTATATCGGGAAGGCAGTTCCGGGTCAGGATCCCGGAGGCAATCGTGGAGAGAAATGCATCGAGAAGGTAATAGGTAGGAAAGTGATTCCATTGAAGTTATATATAAGCTCATTCAAGTCTGTGCTTTGCAAATCATTAATCTTCATCTTTCTATATTTCATCAGAGTACGCATACAAAAATAATACAGCCAACATGTCTCTCACCGGTATCATGGTAGCCCTAATCACGCCCTTCACGGACGACAAAACCCAAATCGACGAGCCCCGTCTCAAGGCCCACATCGACCATCTTCTTGCCGCCGGCATCCACGGCCTCGTCCCCGCCGGTAGCACCGGCGAATTCACCACCCTCTCCTTCGCAGAGCGCAAGCAACTCACCGAGCTCTGCGTAAAGTACGCCGCTGGCCGTGTCCCTGTCGTCACGGGCGTTGGAAGCACTTCGACCTCTGAGGCCATTGAACTGGCAAAACATGCTGCGGATGTCGGCGCTGCTGCGACCATGGTTGTCCCGCCGTTCTACGACCCCGTGAACTTGGCGCAGTTGACAGAGATGTTGAGTGAGATCCATGAAGCTAGTCGCGGACTGCCGATTGTGTACTACAATATTCCCTCTGCGTCTGGTTTGACCCTCTCGCCCAAAGAAATTGCCGGTCTGTCACGTGTGGGAGTCAAATACCTCAAGGACACTTCCGGCAACGCCCCCGCGTTTACCGAACTCGTCTTCGGTCTCTCGGACCAGATCACCGCCTTCAACGGCTGGGATACGCTCACCTTCTACGGTCTCGCAGCTGGAACTCCTGGTGCGATCTGGGGTGCTGCGAACCTTATCCCTGAGCTTGCGGTGGAGTTGTGGGATGCGGTTTCTGTGAAGGGAGACTTGAAGAAGGGGAGGGAGCTTTGGGCTAAGGCGTGGCCGGTTTGTAAGTTCCTGGAGGAGCACAATTATGCTGCTGCTGTGAAGACGGGAGTTGAGTTGGCGGGTCAGAGCACGGGTGGTTTAAGGAAGCCGTTTGCGTTGTTGGAGGGCGATGTTAAGGAGGAGTTGAGGGGTTTGCTGAACAATGCGGGTGTTAAGTCTGTTTAATTTGATCAATTTGACGAATTTTATTTTTGTACATAGCGATATGAATGTGATGATTTGAATATCATACATGTGTTTAACAAAATATCGGCCACAATTGCCACTCCTTGGCTACTTCCACCCATGTAGGAATATCGTCCCCTCTACGAGCTGCCAAATGTTCATCCTGTCTCCTCCATACCTCCAGCATTACCTCTCTCGCCCTTGTAAATGCAATAAATCCGCATTGTGCGTGACCCTTTTCCACCCATCTCAGTGTCGCTTCCCGCCGCGAGACCGTGACGGCTTCACAGCCCGCTATAAACGCCGGCCATGCCGTCCCAGGTCCTGGATTCTGACACTGCTCCAAGGCATTATCAAAATCTGCCAGTGATGCAATAATACTATCTACATGGCCTTGCAGTATAGTAGGATGTACTTGACGAATGCGTCGGTGGAAGAATATGACCAGCGCGGAGCTTAGGGCTCGTAACATGTAACTGTTTGGGCTGCCGTCGCCATTTATATCTCGTGCATGATTGAGGTCAAATGAGCAGACCATGTTCTCGAGTCTGATCCGTCGGCGATGCACAGTGTCCCATGCTTCCGCGCTAAGGTTTTTGTGTGTACGTCGAGCGATTCGTAATGAATCCAGTACATTGGCCATTCGCGTCGTTTGCGAGACTAGGCTGAGCCATGTCTCTGGAATGCCGTAGATCTGATTGTACAGCGTTCCCGGGAATTTTCGTGAATCTTGTAGGTGAATATCGTGTAGGGCAACCTCGCTATCTTTTGGCTGGTCGATGTCCAGGTCGCTGTCTGATTGTCGGGGCTGGAGATGAAGAAAGTCATCAAGGCGTGGATTGCGATGCGAGAAAGTATTGTGATCAGTTCGAAAATGGCGGTTGAATGATTCAATAAATGAGCTTGATGGGTTGTAATCATGCAGTATATAAGTGCTTTCGCCGACAATTCGAATCCACGTGTAGATATGGTGTAGCAGACGGGCCTTCTGCGATATTTTTGGTTTAGACAGACCCCGGAGACGCAGTAGACGCTCTGCGTCGATCATGTAGCATCGTGCATCTTTTTGTTGCCCGCAAAGCATCTGGTCTAATTAGCATTTATCTGCATAATGGAGGAGAGTCATACAGCAAACGCAGTCATTGCACAGATAGCCATCAGTTGGTCTTTATACTTAGCTTTTTTCGGTTGATGAATTTCATGCTTCAGAGACATTTGCATGCGATCCTTGGCTTGCCGGTGCGCCTGTTCTGTCACCATTTTCCAGTGTTCCGTCGAATTCGTGGTAATTATATCGGGATTTGATGCAAGATGATATGCTGAACAGGCAAGCAGAGAGTATAGATTTGCCAACCGGGCATGGCTGATGTTCTGCGTTCCCAGGAAGGTCAAATCGCTGTAAGCCAGCACTGCGGCGGGTACATTGAGGATCTTCCATGGGGATTTTTCGCCCAGTGGCATTGCCATCATCTGTGCAATGACATTGTCTTGGAAATGCTTTAGTAAGAATGGAGCATCTGCCATGACATCTACTGGGGGCAAGCTGGTATCCAGTGGACTTTGCTGAGGAGTCATTACCCGTCTCGGATCATTATGTCCTAGTGTATCTGTCTGCGTAAATGTTGAAGCCATCGCAAAATCAAAGCCGTTCACGGATTCGAGAAATGGATGTGGCGTGAGGTGTAACGGATCCGGACCAAGGTCAAATAAGTCGGACCAATGCAGAAAGTCATCCATTTGTGCCAGGGACCCCATCATCATTGATGAAGGACTGATTGCCAACGGTGGCATATCGTTAACAGGTGGCGTCGCCGGCTGAACATTTCCTTGTTCTCCCACTTCTTCGACTGCATCAACTGTCCTTGGAGGATCCTCGCTGCAAGACACGGGAGTCATATCCATAACTGAGAAAGGACCAACTACAATATCCCCGCTGGTCGAATGTCGTTCGTCCTTGGAGCGAGCATCAATCTCAGCTAGAGATGCGTCGATTGACCCAGACGGGAGATCTGCAGCCAAAGCCGCGCTCATTGAAACCCTGGATTGTTCTAGAGCAGAATAACAGCTGTCAGGCGGTCACCATTTGCTATATGAATGTATTATGCAGGAGCAATGCCCACCGGTATAAAGATGTCGTCGCGTGCTAATAGGCGATTGCTGCTTGTCTAAATCCGCCGACTTTTCACCTGCTGCAGCAGTTGCAGCTGCATGACGCGTGTTTGACTGCTTCTTGCCTGTCATCCACCGGACCTCTTCTGAGAACCCCTCGCATGTTACCCCCAATGCGCGACATGTCAGGCAAGCAGGTCGTTTTTGATCACATTTGACATGGCGGCGTCGGCAGGTGCGGCAGCCGCCCAATGCATGAGAGCGACGCGGTCTACTTCTGGTAGCGGTCATAACTCAAGGGGGTTTCACAATTGACAATTGATCCGATAACAAGTGACTGAAAAAAGGCTATTGTAGAATCATAATGCTTGAAGTCGAAGGAGAAGGATAGAGAGACGCTGATAAGATTACCCCACATTTGGTCAGGTGATCGGAATCACCTTCCTATGCTAGATGATGCGTACATTTGTACATTGACAAAACCCTCCAAAAAAAACCTCAGCGCCAAAATTCGTGAATACCTGCTCACGAATTCCACGCCAGCCACCGAGTACAGAAGCATTGCAATTGCCAATCCTATGCCCGATATCAATATGGGGGAAGCCCCGGGCGCCCGCGAATCCCCGACTGCTTCCCCCCGGGAGCCCATCACCCCGAAGCGACCGCCCAAACGACCAAGACCAGAAACACCAAAGGGGACCACACAACCTGCTCCTACCCTCGGGAACTGGCAATTACCTGGCCAGTCTGTTCAGGACACACCCCCAGCATCCCCCTCCCATGAAACCCCCAGAGTCAATTGGGCCTCGAGCTCCAAAGCCACATTGCAGCAGCGGTAGCATCCCGCACAGCAGAGATAAAAACTACAGGAGATGAGGTCCTGGACCTTGTGTCTATGATCAGTCAGAAAGTCACCAGTTGGGAGGAAAAAGGCCTTAGGAGTGCAGCAGCCTTGGGAAAAGACTTTAGGACCCTGGTCCTCAATTTCAGCAAGAACTTGGCGACTGGGAACACCACCAAAGGGGAAGAGAACCACCAGTCCTTTCCCTCTGCGCACAGAGGCTATGCTGAAGCTGCTAAAAAAGCCCCAGCTAACATCCCCAAGACATAACCAAAACTACATGAGACTCCTCACAAGTCACCACAACTGGAGAAGCCCCCCCGAATCTTCCTCTGCCTCCCCAAAGATCATGCAGCCCGCCGAGCTAGCCCCTATGCCACCATGGATACACTAAGAAAACATTTAGACAAGACCTGTTCTGCAGCTGTAAAAGAGGTCCAACAAGTGCCCTCTGGCCTGGCAATCTGGCCTAAGGATGGCCTAGGTCTCCAGCTCCTCATGGAACGTAGAGAGACCCTGGTGTGTCTACTACAAGGATCCAAGGTGGAAGTGGAACAGAAATGGGCAATATTTGTCCTGCCAAACACGCCACGACAGTATACTAGTTTTGATGGGATCCAAGAGCCCATAAATGAGCAGATGGCTGTTACAGACCCCTAAGGCACTAATCTCACGTGATTATGCGGGGAGTCAAGGCAGAATCATTGGACTATAAGCTCTGGTAATAATGCAGGAAGTAGTAGTAGTAGTGTGTGTGTGTGTGTCTCTATTTAACGTCGAGGGTCGGGTCTTTCCATGCCTCCACAACTCCTTGGGAGCCTCGGAAGCGGAAAAGCCCTGGTCCCGGTGCGGGACATACGACGGACAGATCAGAACTGCCTTTCTTCTAGCTAAACTACCATCTATCATCTAAATACAGGTGGCCCCCCGCGCGGGGGGCCGCTTGGGTTTTTCCAACTGTTAAACAGTAAACTGCGCATCTTGGGGTTTTCTTGGAAAGGAAACCGAGGTGGGGGGAAAACAGGAAAGAGGGGGATGAACAAAAGGGGAAAATGGGGTTAGAGAGAAACGCCTGAAAGGAGGGGAGAGGGATGGAGGAGGAGGGGGGAGTCAGAGGTAAGCCTATGAGTTCCCAGATTGATGCGTTTAGCATCCTAATAGCGTTTACAGATGGCTGTGTAAAACTGTGATTTCCTCAGCCAGTCTGCGTATGCAGTGAATCCTGTCTTTTTGGTAAGGATGTCTGATACTGGTTGTTGGCCCCATGGATGTGCTTCTGCTTTGCGACCTTCGCGGCAAAAATAGAAGTGGGAGGGCTCTTTTCTGCGGCCGCATGAGCATGTCAGCAAAGCATCATCATGTTTAAAGCGCTCATGGTACTCTGCAAAGTCACCATGACTGCTCCTGGCAGCAAGGAGGCGGCCCAGAGTTGCTCGGGGAAGCTGAAGCTCTGGTGGTCGCTTCTCTATGCCTATGCCGAGGTCCTTGTAGCGTTTGGAGGCTTTTTCTGTCCAGAATTGTGCAAAGCATTGCCAGTGCACCCTCTGAGCTGCCTGCTTGGCGGCTGCCAG